CTGAATAGACATTTCTCTAAAGAAGACATCCAGATGGCCAACAGACACATGAAAAGATGTTCAACATCACGGATCATCAGGGAAACGCAAAACAAACTACAATGAGGTATCACGTCATGATTGTCAAAATGGCTATGATCAAAAAGATAAGAAACAACAGGCGTTGACAAGAATGTGGATGGACAAAAAGCCTCATGCACTGTTGGTGGGATTGCAAACTGGTGCAACCTCGATGGAAAACAGTACAGCGGTCCCTCAAAAAATTAAAAACAGAACTATCATAGGGGTGCCTGGGTGGCTCAGTAGGTTGGGCGACTGACTCTTGATCTCAGCTCAGGTCTTGATCTCAGGGTCCTAAGTTCAGGCCCCATGCCAGGCTCCATGCTGGATATGGACCCTACTTAAACAAAAAAACAAAAAAATAATGAAAAATAAATAAAAATAGAACTATCATAGAATCCAGCAAATCTACTTTGAGGTATTTATCTGAAGAAAATGAAAACACTAATTCAATAAACACATGCACCCGTATGTTTTTGCAGCCTTATTTATAACAGCCAAGATATGGAAGCAGCCCAAATATCCATGGATAGGCAAAAGGATAAAGAAGATACGGCAAATTTATACAACAGAATATTACTCAGTTACAAAATGAATGAAATCTTGTCATTTGCAACAATGGGGACAGAGCTAAGATGCTAAATGAAACCAGTCAGGCTGAGAAAGACAAACACCAAATGATTTCACATATTTGTGGACTCTGGAAAAACAAAACAAGCCAAACAACAACACAAAGCAGAAGCAGATTCAGAGATACGGAGAACAAGTGATGATTGCCAGAGGGAAGGAGGGTGGAGGGATGGACAAACAAGCAAATGGAATTCAGAGGTTCAGAGGTATGATCTTCCAGTTACAAAATAAATAAGACACACAGGAATGTAGTGTACCGCAGAGGGAATACAATCAATAATATTGTAACAACTTTGAATGGTGACAGATGGTAACTAGACTTACTGCAGTGACCATTTTGTAATGTAAATATATATCAAGTCACTATGTTGTTGTTTTTTTGAATCATATGTTTTATACCTAAAACTAATACAACATTGTATGTCAATTATTCTTCAATAAAAAATTATATAAATAAAAATAAACAACGAACTTATTAGAGTAAAACTAGAGGGGGCACCTGGGTGGCTCAATCAGTTAAGCGTCTGCCTTCGGCTCAGGTCATGATCCCAGGGTCCTGGGATCGAGTCCCGCATAGGGCTCCCTGCTCGGTGTGGAGCCTGCCTCTCTCTCTCCCTCTGGCCCTCCTCCTGCTCATGCTCACTCTCTCTCTCAAATAAATAAATAAAATCTTAAAAAAAAGAATAAAACTAGAGTGTATGCATTTGAAAGCATAAAGAATAAAGGAATACTAACATTAACACATTATTTAAGTTTGTTCTGGAAATTCTAAGGGCCATGATTCAAGAAGGGGAGAAAAAAGATAAAATATCAAAAGGGAGGAAAGAAAATTATTATTATTATTTGCAAATGATGTGATTATCTACCTAGAAACCAGAGAATCAACTCCCAAACCATCCTAACAAGATAACTTAGCCACAGGTAAGTTTTTCAGTTAAAAAATAAATATATTCAAACAATACCTTCCTTATATCCCAGCCCAAATGTGTGAGAAATTACAATAAATAAAAATCACATTCAGGAAATAGAAATTAAATTTTGTTAAGGAATGTATGCTAAATACAGGAAGCAAATTGCAGCACTGGACTCAAGAAAAACTGAACCCACACTCGTCATGGGGGGGGGGTCTTACTACGTTCTTAGTTTCTCCCGAATAGATTTAGTGCAATTTAATGCAATTAAATTTTAATTTGGTGCAATTTAAATAGTGCAGTTAAGTCTTTATTAAAATGACTCAATGATTATAAATTTTCCTGGGAGAATAAACAGCTGATATTACACATTATCATCTTCAAAAATACAAACGAAAAATGTTTGATTGGCCCGATATTTACATACATTAAAAATTTAGACCCATCAATATATTATGACAGGTCCCAGTACCAACAGATATTAAACTATATAGTAAGCCCAGAAATACCTATAAATATATAGAAGTTTATTTTACCAAAAGTTGGTATTTTAAACCAGAAGAACAAATGTGAAGTATTCAAAAAACAAAAAAAATGATGTCGTTAAAACTCACTGGCTTGGGAAACAAATCCAAATCCCTACTTCAGCTCTTCACTAAACTTCTGTAGATGAAGTAAAGACAATAAGGAAAGCATGAATTTCCAGGAACACTTCTTTCCCTCCTTCCCCCTGCGCGTGAGCTCACTACTCCTCGATGGTGGCAAGGCCAGGGCTGCCCTAACTGGCAGACACAGCCCATTTACAAAGCTTGCAGGAGCACTGAAGTCTGCAATCACCATACTGTACACCTGAAACTAATATAACCTTGATGCTAACTCTACTGGAATTGAAAATTTTTTTTAAAAAGTAATAATAATAAATAAATAAAAATGAAAAATGAAAAGCTTGCAGGAGATTAAGCTCTGCCAAAAATCCTTGGTATCCCGCTGGCCGACTGACAGGGTGGCTGACAGTGTCAGAGGGAGAAGCCACAGGACCGAGTCCAGCCACGGGTGCCCCCACGAGGGGAACCTCTTCTGTCCCTCCTATGGCTTCTTTCTGGCCCCAGCTGCAGAACTGGGCATTCTATTTCTCTTTACAGACCCCAATACATCCACCTCAATCTACTGGTTCAATAAAATCTGTTTATCCTCAAAACATAACATGCCAAAATTTAAAAGATTTGAGGCCCACATAACTATACCTTTTCATGGACAAACCCCTGAGCCAAGGTTTTTGTTACGCAGACTCCTGGAGCGCCTCACTGATAAGGCTTACCGGAAGGACTGATAGTATCTAAAGTCCTGTGCTGTCTCCCCACGGTAGGAATTCCCCACCCCAACCCGACCCCTATAAAAGGCAACTAAACAGATACAGAAAATGAGGAAAACAAGGGAACGACCTCAAGCCAGAGCCTACACAGGCTATTTGCTAAATTCGAGACAAGGAGGACCCAAAGAAAAGGTGACACTGGAGTCAACTCACAGCCGCCTGCCTATGAGCTCTGCTCCTTCCTGAGGGGGAGCGGGAGAGGGACCCATGTCCAGGCGGGGGCTGCGGGGCCGGGGTACCGCACGGATGCGTGCAATTCTGGGCCCCAGGCCCTTTGGGCCACACAGGCTCTGGGCTCGAGGGGAGACACATGACTATGACTCAGCCCTTTCCGATTTCCTCCCCACAGCTTCTTCAATCAAGATGAAAGGTTGAGATTGACCAGCTTTGCAACAACGTGTCAGCCTGTGCCTGGGAAACACTGTGGATGCTGCAAGCTGTTGAAGATGCACGTTGTCCAAAAAGCCTTCCATTCTCCTCTGCGCGCAGCCAGACAGAGAGCAGGGCCAAGGGAGACGCCTCTGGAGCAACCCCGCTCCCTGGGCTGGGGTCCCCGCGCCGGCTGTCATCTGGGCTGGGGTGCGCAAGGTGGATTTCAAACTCCCAGCCCTCTCTCGGGCTCCAGCCTGATGGAAGATGGAAGGCCACCAACGTAAACAGAAGGGAAATTGCACCCGTGGGATGTGTGGGGAATTACAAGCTCAGGGGGACTGGGTCCCAGCAGGAGAAAAGTTACTAGAAAAGTCCAGTGCATGAGATATTTTCGAAGGGAAAAGAAGGCAGCCAAATATTGCATGTTAGTGAAAAATGGACTCGTTTTCAAAGATTTCATCAGAGCGTGGAAGCACAACCAGCATTTAAAATATACCACAAACCTGAGTTACTAGGGCGAGGCCAGGCGGCAGGCGTGGGAGGACCATGAAGATCAGGAGGGCATTGTTTTAAGGGGATAGAAAATCAAATGACAGAAAATGCAGTCTATTTGTAAGGGTAACAAATGCTGTTGGGTTAAACTCCTCTCTGCAAAGGAGGCAGCTCTCAGAGTGGGTGAAATATTTCTAAGAAACACAGATAAAGTGAAATGATGCAGAAAAGTCGAATTTAAAGGTGAAACTCTATTCCAGAGAATCTGGAACAAGCACACACACAAAGAACTTGAGATAATTTCCTGAGCAGAAGGCAGATGCTTAACCAACTGAGCCACCCAGGTGCCCCCGTGTCCTTAGGATTTAGTTCAACGCATTGTGCATTCTGTAGTCTCCGCATTTCCAACAAAACAGCAGCTGTCTCTACAGGCTTGATGGTACCCAGTTGGTGTTCATAGCAAGACCTTGGTGGAGGTGCGTTCTTTGATCAGGATGTACACAATATGAGCAAATCTCTCGTTGTGATGTTAACAGCTGTTGATGCACAAAACCTGGATCCCTTCATTCACTGGAGTTTGCAAACTGAGGATATTCTATAAATATCAATTCTTATTTATGTATTAGCTGAAATAATCCTATAAAGAGACATGTCTAGCCTTTAATTACCCCTGACAGAGTTTCGAGAAGAAAGACCTCTAATGGACCCTTTGTCTCCGTCATTCATTCTCATCAGGGTCAAATCCATGGGTAAATTCTCAGACCTCACGCAGTTTGATCCCTTGGTAGCATTTGCTGAGGGTGCTCAGGCCCACCTTTTTTACTTCTGTTCTAAGAGAACTCATTCTTCTGCTGTTCTTCCTGCTCCACAGAGGATCCTTCCCATCCCCTCGAAAGCGTCCCCTTGTCTTCCTCACCCTTAATGTTAGAGAGGCCCAGGCTCCCAAATGTCTATGTCCTGGCCCCACTCTCTCCCCAGAATCCCAGAGCAGCGCCTCCTCTGGGCTGAATGTCCATCAGGACACCAGAGTTTTAGACTTGACGTGGTCCCATTCTAGTCTAAAACTCCAACTTGTCCCCGTCTTAGCACCCTGTCACCCTCAACCCCACCCTCTCCTGTACCCCCAGTTTCAAAATCTGACTCAAGCTGATCACTTCTTACCTTCAGAGGCGTGTGTGTTCTTGTATATCTTTAGCCCAGTCCTGAATTTCTGCTTTTCCAAAGACGAGACAGAAAAGTAGGCATATCACATTAATGACTGCCATCAGGAAGAAAATTTTAAACCAGGCGGATTCTGGATCCTGAGGGATTATAGTGCAAAGTGATTATAAATTAGTGGGCTTGAGGTACTTTGTAACACTTCCAATATAATATTAAAATTAGTATAGATTCAATACAGGTCACTTAATAGACATGGAAAAACACACTCATAAGGAGCAAAAAAATTATAATTTCACTCTACAAAGATAATTACTATTTATCTTTCTATTTTTTAAAAAGATTTAGTTTATTTATTTGAGAGGGAGAGAGCATGTGAGTGGGGGGAGGAGCAGAGAGAGAGGGACAAGCAGACTCCTCACAGAGCTCAGAGCCCGACATGGGACTCGATTCCAGGACCTTGACATCATGACCTGAGCTGAAATCAAGAGTCAGATGCTTAACCAACTGAGCCACCCAGGTACCCTCTATCTTTCTACTTTTTGACTTATGTCTATGTACATATAATTTTTCATGTATAAAAATAACATTATGATGTACATACTGCTTAAGCCAAGAGTGCATATGGTTTTTTATTAGAAATATAAACATGCTTGCATATCAAGAAATATTTGACTGTATCATAACCTTTACTGACTGATTAGTAATCCAGAGTTTAGATTTATAAAATTTATAAAACATCCCTTATTTCTTTATATTTATGTTTTTCACTTTTTGCTACTACAAATCTGAGTATCTTGGTAGTTAATTACATATCCATCAATGCTTTTGAATAAAATTTATCGAATACCTTTTCCTTATTTATAACGTATTTTCTCTTAAGCCTACCCATATGATCAGTTTCATTAATAGATTTTGTAATATTGAGCCACTTTTACTTTCATAGAAAATGCCTTAATTAATCATGGTGTTATAGGCATATATTTTAATATGCTGGTGGATTCTATGCACTGATGATTTAGTTCATTTTTGCATCTATATTCAAAGATGACATTGAATTTTAATTATGTTTGAGATTTGTTTTTTACCTTTTTTATCAGCCGAGATTAAATTTTATGTAGTTTTGTATAATGCATCGTGATTGGGTTTAGGTGTCTGGTACAATGCTTTTGAAGGATGTCCAACCCAAAGTTTATACAATTATTAAGGCCTATTTTACTTTAGTATCTTTTTTTTTTTAAGATTTTATTTATTTATTTGACACACAGAGAGAGATAGCGAGAGAGAGAGAGGGAGAGAGAGGGAGAGAGCACAAGCAGGGGGAGCGGCAGGCAGAGGGAGAAGCAGGCTTCCTGCATGAGCAGGGAGCCCCGATGTGGGGCTCGATCCCAGGACCCTGGGATCATGACCTGAGCTGAAGGCAGCGGTTCAACCAACTGAGCCACCCAGGCGCCCCTACTTTAGTATCTTTATTGTTTCTCTTCACTTACATTTTTAATCATCTAGAATTAATTTTGGGGTCAGATATGAGAACAGAGTATAATCGTATTTCTCTACAAGTGGGCTTCCCACTACGTTTTTTTAAAAAAATAAATCCATCTCCTCTGGTTTGAAATGAAACTTTGTCATACAGAATGTATTTTTTTGGAACTTGACCAAATCATCATCAGTTTTATTTAAAATACGATTAAGAGTGGAGGTGCCTTGGTAGCTCAGTCAGTTGAGCGTCTGACTCTTGATATCTGCTCAGGTCATGATCTCAGGGTTGTGAAATCGATCCCCACGAATGGCTCCATGCTCGGTGTGAAGCTTGCTTAAGATTCTCTCCCTCTCTCTCTGCCCCTCTGCACTCCTACTCACTCTCTCTTTCTCTCAAAAAGAAAATTAAAATTAGAAAAATAAAATATATTAAGAGTAGACATTGAAAAAATAAAACAATATGTTTCCTTCAGATAAGACATTAAATATATTTAATTACAGTGATTTCTCTAATTAAAACAGGCCAAGCTTAACAGGTCATTAGCAAACAGAAAGTCAAGAAAAGGACCAAGATGTGCCCAGAAATTTAATGATAAATAATAAAGTTTTCAATAATTTTAAGTTGATAGAATTCATTGTGTTTTGGACCTGAAGTCCAACATAAAAACTTGATCTGCCTCCTTCTTCATATAGTTTCACTGATGTTGCTTTAATAGGTGTGCAGTTTTCTTCATATGGAGTTTGCACAATTTTCAGTGTTTTTCCCCTGTGGGTACTTTGTAATATTGGTTGATACTGTGCTTTAGATATTTATACAATATAATATCTAACTTTGATTCCCCCCCCCCACCTGCCAGGACAGGCTGTTAACTGTACATAATGTTATTTTGTTCTTCTGCATTTACGTTGTATCTACCTGTAACTTACTTTTATTGACCAATTGGGTTTGCTAACCTTTTCAGAATGCTGCACAATAAGATAGATAGCATTTAAAAGAGTATGCAAATAATGATATTAATAGCTGTTATGGGTTGAATACATGAGCATCTGGTACTTGCATGCATGATCTGATTTGGTAAGCCCCTGAACTCCATGAGGTTTCTCTGTCATTTTGGCCATTTATAGCTGGAGACACCAGGACTTAAAATGTTTCCAGGTCGCATAGCTTATAAGTAGCAGAGTTGAGATTTGAATACACACTGTATATATTTTTAGGAATACGAATATATTTGTTTATCCAGTTGTCCCAAATTTTTAGCATAGAGTTCTTACTGTTCTTAGCTTTTAATCTACAACGTCTCCAAAAAAATTTCTCCTTTCTCACTTGGTATTTCCAACAGTTTAATCTTGTCTCTTGTATCCTGCTCTAGAAAGATTGTCTATCTGATTAATCTTTTCAGATTACCAATTTTAAGTTTTGTGTGTCTTCTCTACTGTTTTATTAACTGCAGAATTTATTTATTTTACCCTTATTGTTTTAATCCTTCTTATTCTTTGGGGTTGCTATGTTGTTGTTTTCCCCAAGTTCTGGAGTTGAAGGCTTATTAGCTTATTTATTTTTGGTTGCCTTTCTTGTGTTTTCTTTTATAAATTAGGTCAAGTTATAAATTACCCTAAATGTCCAATATATTTCCACATGTAACAATTTCCCTGTCATTCAGTTTTAAGTGTTACTGAATTCACTTTTTGATGTTCTTTTAAACCTAGGAATTATTTACTATTATGTTGTTCAGTTTGTAAATATATGTGATCTTTTTAGAAATCCTATTGGTATTAGTTGTGATGTTATTGCACTTTGGTTTTCTATAGAATATCGATCCTTTGAAATCTAATTTACCATCTATCCCCAGTGGAAGAACCGAGCCACCTCACTGAACTTGCCAGTATAGGCAACTGACGGTCTAAAATGTTATTTCTTATTTTCAAAATATGTGTGGACTTTTCTGCTTATCTATTCTGTCTTTGATTTCTATCATAATTTAATTGTGATTGGAGGACACATTCTGTGTAATTACAGTCCTGTTACAATTGCTGGAATTTACATAATAGCACAGTATGTAGTCAATTTTTACAAATGTTCTAGGACACCTTGAAAGGAATGAGGATTCTGTGGTTGTTGAGTGGGGCGTTCCATGAATGTCAATTAGGCCAAGTATGTTAATTGTGTTGCTCAACTCTTTTATATTTTTACAGATTTTTTTCTCCTTGCTGCAACAATTACTACAAGTGGTGTATTAAAATCTTTCACTATAGCTATCTTTGTGTCTCTTAACGATTTGGTTTTGTGGTTACACTAGGGTGCACAGCAGGTTAGCTGGGAGCTGGGCTCTACATCTCCTCATCCCCAGATCCTGGATGGTAGAGATGCAGTCGCCATTCTCATTGTTACCAGTTGCTATGTCAAGAAGAGAATGACCTCCTGCCTCTTAAACTTCTCTTCAGAATTAACACATATAACTTCCTCTCATGTGTCATTGGCCAAAATAACGTGCATGAATACATTTAACTTCTCGCAAGTGGGAAACTGCCAAGAGAAGAACCAGAAAAAAATTATTTTTTACTTATGTTTTTAAAAGATTTTATTTATTTATTTGGCAGAGAGAGAGCACACAAGCAGGGTGAGGGGTAGAGGGGGAAGCCGACTCTCTGCTGAGCAGGGAGCCGGATGCGGGGCTCCATCCCAGGACCCTGGGATCGTGACCTGAGCCAAAGGCAGACGTTTCACCGACTGAGCCCCCCAGGTGTCCCCAGAAAAAATTATTGTTGCAATAAGTAGCTGCAATAATTAGCTCCTAGTTCACCATTCTCGTCATGAAATATATGATTCACTCACCTTACTCCACACAGAGCACACTAATCAAGGCAGACCACTCCAAAAGCCCCCCCGGTCCCTACATTGTCACTTCAGGACCTGATCAAAGAACACTCAAGCGCACCCCGAGAGGTAGCTCTCAAAATGTCCGCCGAGCAGGGTGCCGGCATTACTGTAAACCTATAGCTACCATCTGCACCCTGGTCTTCCTTTTCTGAAAGGAAGTGTTTACGACCGCTAATGGATGGCAGTGCTGCCGCAGTACACAGCATGGAGTACGGTGCCCCTGATGTGGAGGGCCGTTGTGCATGATCGCCCCGATGAAGACAGGACACAGTCTGCACTTTGAACTTGATGCCATAACGAGGTGGGAGCCCGGGTCCTTACGGAGGAAGTGAAATCGTTCCACCCGCACCGGGGAGAGTGAACTGAACGTTTGGTGGCCGGAGGAGTGAACCGATGTGACATTTTTGGTCCTCCTTCGTGGCGCTCCACAGACCCCCTGAAGTCAAGGTTAGCCGTGATTGCCTTGGACCATGACCCGGAGCAGAAGGGTAAAGAGCCACTGCCCCTCACTGCACCCTCCGCTCTGCCTCGGTGACTGGTAGGGCTTAGAGGACCGGATCTCCCCAGTTACCCCATCGGCTGACTCGAGATGGATCTACCAGTTGAGAAAGAAAGACCTCTGTAGTTTTTGCTGCTGGCATTTGGGGTTGTTAGCAGTGCTGCCATGTCTATCAAATTTGTTTTTAAACTTCAGTTTTAGTCTTTTTTTTCTCACATATTCTATGTGACTTCCTATAGTTTGAGCCTCCTACGGAAAATAGCAAGCTTCACTTATCCTTCCCCGTGCAGTGGTAGTGGTACCAGTCTGACTTGTCTTTGGGGTCCCTTTCTCCTGTCACTGTTATTTGCTCTTTGTTCTGCTGGTTTTCCCCCATTTTGCTGTGTCTCCGTCATGTGCCTGGTTATGTTTTGTTGTATGCAGGGGATTGTACTTAAAAAACGATTTCTGGTGACAGTCGGGTTGGTGATGCCTCTCCCCAAAGCGCTGTTTTTGTTTGCTTCCTGCTGACTCCTCTGGGACACTGTAAGTCCAAACCCCTTTAAAGTAATATTGGGTATGTTCTGGTCTGCCCAGATGACTCAAGCAGACTGTGTGAGGACTGGTTTATTTCTGTTCACTCTTACTCCTTCCGTGCAACTCTTGGAAGGTCTCAGAGTAAAACAAGAGTTAATTTATTGGGGTCCTTCTCCCTTGGCAGACCCTCAAAAGCAGCCAAAAAATCTGCTTTCCTCAGCCCAGTGGAAAATACCCTGTAGTCCTTTACCTAATTCTTTCACTTCATGGCTTCTCCCAGATCTTTCCTGTTAAAGTTTTCCATCTCTCTGGTTCTCTGAACCTTCAAAGAAGACTCTTCATATTTTTCCAACCTTTTAAATTGCTTTCACTAAGAGAATTGACCCAAATTATTTACTTTCATTAGTGGAATCAGAAACTTCACTAGTTCTCTTGTTAGCTGTATTTCATCTGAAATTTTTTATTTCAATTTTTCTATTTTTAATTATCAGAGGTTAGATTTAGTTCTCTGTCAAAGCTTATGCTTCTACATATATTTTTGACCCTCTCTTTTGCTTCTTTAAACATATGCATAGATTTCCAATATCTCTGAGGATATGATTCCAAGGTTTTTTTATTATTCTCTCATGTGACACCTTATTTCTTCACGTGTTTGGTGATTTTTAATTGATTGTAAAATTGTTCTCACTAAACCTTTATGCATGAGAAAATCCTAGAGTATGAATTTAGGGTGAGTTTCTCCAGAAAAACCTTACTTGCTTCTACTAGGCATCTTTGGACTACTCAAAATTCAATGCTTGGCTTACGGCATTTAAAACAAATAGAGTTTGTCTCTCATAGTTCATCTCCCCCTCTGATTTACCCCCCTTCATTCTTCCCCTTCTGCTATCTTCTTTTTTTTTTCTTAACATATATTGCATTATTTGTTTCAGAGGTACAGATCTGTGATTCATCAGTCTTACACAATTCACAGCACTCACCATAGCACATACACTCCCCAATGTCTGTCACCCAGCCACCCCATCCCTCCCACCCCCCCACCACTCCAGCAACCCTCAGTTTGTTTCCTGAGATTAAGAATTCCTCATATCAGTGAGGTCATATGATACATGTCTTTCTCTGATTGACTTATTTCACTCAGCATAACACCCTCCAGTTCCATCCCACGTCATTGCAAATGGCAAGATCTCATTCCTTTTGATGGCTACATAATATTCCATTGTGTATATATACCACATCTTCTTTATCCATTCATCTGTCGATGGACATCTTGGCTCTTTCCACAGTTTGGCTATTGTGGACATTGCTGCTATAAACATTGGGGTGCACAGACTCTGAAAAACAAACTGAGGGTTCTAGAGGGGAGGGGGGCGGGGGGATGGGTTAACCTGGTGATGGGTATCAAGGAGGGCACGTTCTGTGTGGAGTACTGGGTGTTATGCACAAACAATGAATCATGGAACACTACATCAAAAACTAATGATGTAATGTATGGTGATTAACATAACAATAAAAAATTTAAAGAAAAAAATAAAATAAATAGAGTTTGAATTTGGGCCTCAAACTGTTGGGAAAATTGGTTCATTGTTCCAGATGTCCAGAAGAGTCTTTATTCAGTTTTTCTTCTCTCTTTGAAGCTGAGGCTGAGACAGACAAGTTTCCTTACTGGGCAGAGACAACTTTGGACCGTTCTGGAGGCACATTTCCTCCCACCTTGTGAAAGTCCGCAGAGAAGTTAGCTTACCTTAACAACATTTGGAAGTCTGCTCGGCATATCCGAGGGAGTTAAGTGGAAGAAAAGGCTGAGTGGGCTCTATATGCAGGGAGAAATCAGCCTGGTCTCCTGGAATCCTGCTTTTCTATCCACTTCTCTGTCCAGGGAGATTCCATGGTTACAGTGATTTTTCCTGCCTTTCTGATACCATAAGTACATAGAACATGATGGTAGTGGGCGCTCTTCTTTGGGAAATTTGGCCGTGGTGAATGCAGACCATCTCTCCTTGGCCCAAGTCATGGGATAAGGAGCATGTGGAGGAATTGCCTGTATACTGCTACTTCTCAGCTCGTAGCTTTTCCTCCAAATAAACCAAGTTTCGTATAAGCTACATGGTACTATGTGTGAGGGTGTAGTGCTTTGTGATTACAGATTTATGCCAGTGTTTCCAATCTGACTTTTTTTGTTTGTTTGTTTTATGAGTGGTTTGGGGATATTATCTCTTATTCTTGATTTGTTCATCACAGCCGAAGTGACAGATCACCCAGCAAGGGTCATGTACCAAGGCATTCCAGGGCTTCAGGAGGCATTGATCTCTCTGGGATCAAGCTCTCCCTTTGTTTTTCATCTCTGAAATTTTCTCTTACATCTTTTTGAAGATCAGGTATGCATTGAAAATGATTGTTTAAATTTGATAGGGCATTTTAGTGTTCTTAAGAGAAGGATTTCAGGTAACCTTGTCCACAGCACTTGTCGAAACACAAGTTGACCTTTAGAGAAGGGTTTCTTTTGATCGCTAATTCTGTTTGCTCCTGATTTTTCATTCCTTTTCTAACAAAACTGTATCTTGTTACTTATATTACCATTCACCAGCCAAAATTCCTGTTTGGATCAAGCCACACACTCATTGTTAAAAATCACAGAGGTCTATTTCTGTTCCCAAGACCAATGACTGAACTGTTCCCAGCACAACTACTTGACATCCAATTAGAAAGAAATTACATTATCTGTAGATTTGGAGGGATGCCTGATCTGACCAAGTTTAATGTGAGCAAATATCTCATTACTCACCTCCTGCTGATGTCATGTCTACAATTGTTTGTATATATATTGCCGCCTTTCTCTGTATAAGTAATATTAGAAAAGTCACCACCCGTGTATGAAGGCTTCTTACCTGATGAAGGATTACTCCACACAGAGTAGAAGAAATGAGTCCTCCTATCATCCCAATTACAGCTGTAACTCCTTTAAGAAATCCGTAATAACTATGCGAAACAGAAGGGCAGGACACAGAGGTAAAGTCAGACAAATGCTGCAGGAAAAGACAACCTAACGAAATGAGGCTTAAGAGTGATAACTCTTGATTTCCTAAATTTTTCACTCCTCCTCAAATTCCATTAAAAGTTGAAAAACTATGTGGATATAAGTAACTTTCCAGTGGCAGTACAAAATCAGAAAAGTTGGCTTTAACAGTAAAAATGATTCCGAGATTGAGAGAGAGCCTAGTGGAATGAAAGCCAGCAGGATTAGGAAATCTGTGAATCCAGTTGAGAAATTCAGAAGGTGATGTTTATTGGTGATAGGAACTGGTTTGGGGATAATGCAAAAGTGAAGGACTCCATCCACCTGGTCTCTTCCCATGGTCCAAGAGCTACTGGCCCAGTGATTGTTCCCAATACTTGGATGAGGAAGCCAGAAGCTTAGCTGCCAAGCAGCTGTGCTCGGCCCGTCCTGGGTACCCAAACCCAGCTCAGCAGAAGGCAGGGAAGCCACGGAGAATGATCGATAGAGGAAGGGTCAGATCCAGCAGCCAAAGAGAACAAGGAAGTGCCTTCTGGAGAGCAGAACCAGTGTCTTACCAAGAAATTAGTTCTCTCCAGGGCGGGGAGTCTTGCCTTTCCTTTTCAAAAGATTTCACCATTAAAGGTTCTGTGTTTCCTTTTCTTCCCTTTTATGACAGTGAGGGTTTTCTGTTTGTTTTGTTCTGTTCGTTTTATTTCCCTAGGTCTATTTTATTCCTATTCTGCCTTCACCTGTTGAATATGGGAGGGAGTATATAGTTTGTCTATTGGTTTCTCTGTCCCTTAATCGGAGAGGCATCACATACAGACCAAAAGTCCCTTGCATGTTGAACCGTATGCAGTCACTGGGTGGAAATTTGATTTGATTTTTAGGGGGAGCCGGAGAGTGTGTTCTAATATATAAATAAGAACATTTATGGGTATTAGAAATGATAGGTGCAGATCGGGGCAGAAATCACCAGTTGTCCCCAGAATTGATGGTTCCCCTTTTCATTTTAGCAATAGGACCCCTAGGGTTTTTGTGGGGATAGAGCTACATATGCCATTTGTGAGGCTTTGTCACATTTGCCTTCATGAGCACCTCTCCCCATAAAAATATTAAAAATTATATTTTATGACTCTGTGTGTGTGTGTGTGTGTTGAGGGACTTTTCAGTTTCATCTAAATTGTCAGATTTACAGGCACGAAGTTTTTCATAATATTCTGTTATTTCCTTTTTGTATTCTAAACTTACCATAATGCATGCTTTTGCATTACTGACATTGATAATTTTTCTCTTTTTCTTAATCACCCTTCATTTTTTCATTACTTTCATTAATTTCCAGAGAACCAACTTTTGACATTGTTGATTTTATGTATAATGTTTTTGTCCTAATCTTCATAATTTTGGGGGGGTTAATTTGCTGCTTTTCTAGCTACTTAAGATAAGAAACATGATTATTGATTTTAAGACTTACCTGTTTTTCAATATATATGTTTAAAGCTATACATTTCTCTCTGGGCATGATTTTTTAAAAAATATTTTTATTTATTTGTCAGAGAGAGAGAGCACAAGCAGAGGGAGAAGCAGGCTTCCTGCTCAGCAGGGAGCCTGATGTGGGACTTGATCCCAGGACCCTGGGATCATGACCTGAGCCGAAGGCAGACGCTTAACCGACTGAGCCACCCAGGTGTCCCTCTCTGGGCATGATTTTAAAAGCATCCCACATGCTTTGAAATGTCCTACTTCATTATGATTTAAAGTATTTTCTAATTCCAATTGTGATTTCTTCGACTTAAAATTTCTTCGACTTTCCTTAATTATTACTGTGTGATTTACATGAATTCTTTTCCCTGGTCTTTTGCTTCCTCACCCATACTATGTGGGTAATATCTCATTCACACAGGGCATGCCAGGCACATAAAAGTACTCAATAAATCCTAGCTATTTATAATTTCCTTTCTCTATTTCTATATACATTATTTTCTTTAAAGATTGATTTATTTATTTTAGAGAGAGAGAGCATGAGCAGGCGGGGCAGACAGAGTGGAAGAGAGAATCTCAAGCAGATTCTGCACTGATCACGGAGCCCCACACAGGGCTCCATCCCAGGACCCTGAGATCATGACCTGAGCCAAAACAAAGAGTCAGATGCTTAACCAACTGTGCCACCCAGGCGCCCCTATTTCTGTATACATTCTTGATTTCAAAGTGCATATGACTCAGTTGACATTGTGCTTTCTGTATCAAATAATCCTTACATGTTTTGTATATAATTCACCTGTGGGCATTTTTAAGGAGGGTCTTGGAACTGAATAAAACAAGTGGATACATGTCCTCATTACTCTGGCACTCATCTTGTGTAGATATAATGGACAAGATTCTTTATAAGAATCAAGACAAGTGGATTATTCTTTGTTGATTTCGCCTCTCTACCCCACAGCCACTGCTTTGCTAAACTTCATAGAATTCTGTTCCTACTGGATCCATGTTCTCCAGGGACTGCTAACCCTATAAAGCACAATGTAAACAGTGCCCCCTGGAGTTGTGCAAATGGCTGGGCTGCTTCCATCAGTCACACTTAGAGTATCTTTAAAAAAGGCATCATAGTAAAAGCAAAAGATTTTGCCAGACAGATCTGGATTAAAATCCTAGGTAAGATTCCAAACCAGTGGTGAGATCTTGGCTGACAAGTATCTGACCCTTGGTTTTCTTAGTTATAAAATAAGTACTACTGACTGGTGGGTTTTCATAAGGATTCATAATATATAAACATGTATTCAATAACAATAACAAGGGGGAGCGGGTAACCTGTATACAGTGTTTGCTATGGGCCAGGCACTATTCTGTGTACTTGACCTAAATTAACTTATTTCATCCTCTAATAATCCTATGAGGTAAGCATTCTCTTATCACTCCCATTTTATAGGTGTGAAACAGGCCCAGAGAAGGTAAGTAATTTGTTTGAAGAGAGTAGTCATGCTGTTATTAAAACCGAGCCTTCTGACTTTAGAATCTGTGCCCTGAATCGTTGGGCTGTACTTCATAAATATATGGGTTGCAAACATTAATATATCATTAGGTACATAATGATTACTTACATTATATGAATGAACTATATTGATGCTGCTTCTGGAAGAGTTTTGGCCTGGTGGCCACGAACTCCAAAATGGTTGGAATCTTAAAAAACCCTGGAGAGCTTGGATACAGGAAAGAGATTTTTAAAATCCTACCTGGGAGCAATATCCAAGCCATTTATGAGTACTCCAGCCATACAAAAGGTTCCTGTTGAACTGGCAAGTATCAGGAAGATGGTAGTGCTAGAGAAGCTGAAACTCAGGTAGAGCAGGCACACGCTAAAGAAGGCAGGCAGGAGAAGTCCTGGGGAGTGATTCAGACAACACAGTTAGGGGCATCCCAAAGACGGGGCAAAGGGCCTCAAGGAGCTTGAACATCCGGCTGTTCCTTACCCAGTGTGTTGAAGAGGTTCCGGATGGTAACTAAGCGGAGAATATTCCTGGACAGGAAGAAGTCTGACAGGTGACCTGCTAGGATACCAAAGCTCCAGGCAAACAAATAGGGGAGGGCTGACAGCAGCCCATTCTGGGAAGTAAATGTTAGTGTAAGGGTGAGTATGATAGGTAGAGTCATCCCGACGCTAAAATTCAGTATCTAAAATTTGTATTGCCATACAAGCTACCATCAACGTGCAAACTCAGAATTCCCACTTGGGGCCACACCACCCAAAAGAAAGAGGAAAATAGTTTTGGGGTCAGAAAGAGTTGTCAGAGTCCATCTAGTTTTCTCTTCTTAGTGTCACAGGACCTGAAAGTACTGGAGAATCGAGATCCGAAGACTATCGTCGGGAATGGGGAATGCCGGCCTTGGGCAAGATGGTAGAGCTAGTAATGACAGCAACTACAGACATACGTACGGTGTTGATTCTGAACCACTGCCCTTAATCCTTTCAACACATCCAGGGTCTCACAGAGCATAACACTGAATCAGAGAGCGCTTGGCCCCAAGGCTGGGTTACTGGAGCTTGATTGATGAATGGCACTTTGGGCATTCCATTTCTATAGGAGTCTTTTCTGGTTAGTATGGCTTTGAACATAAGGTTCAGGGAACAGTCATTCTCCAAGTCAGACAAGAAATGAGAGTGCCCATCCTTTCAAAGCAAGACCCAGGACTCATTGCCTTATCCCAAGAGATAGGTTGGGTGTGAGCTGGGCAGGGTGGCAGGGAAGCATCCCAGTCTCTGTAGGCAACGATGGTGTTGAGCCTTAAATAATACTAATTGGGGTGATCATGCAGTGAATGGGAGGTAGGGAACCTGTGGGAACATGAGTGTATTCTGTTGTGGGAGGGCCAGATATGTGCCTACACCCTTTGATCTGGGGAATGTTAACATAAGAATTGGAAACAGTCTCCAGGTACAGCTAAATGGTGTAGGGGTGAGCAAGAGCTAGGGTTAGAGTCATAAGAAACAAAGAAATGAGCAGAGTCCTTCATAAAGCTAAAAGGAGAACACAAGTCAACTTACCTCTTTTATATTCACATGAAGCTTGGAGCTGATAAATGTTGGAGTGTACAAAACCATGATGTTATTTGTCCAGTGAAAAGCAAAAGAACCGAAAGCAATGGCCCAGACGGGAAGAGACTTAATCATAGCTTTGATTGGCAGAGACTGTGTCCTTGAGCTGACCTGGGGAAAAAACCCATTAACTGTTAGCACATTAGGACAAGCAGGAACATGGTTCCATTTGGCACAGAATCTGGAAGATCCCACAGTGGAGCGTCTGTGTTCTACCTGCTGGTTGAGGGAGGACAAGATGTATTCCTTCTCACTGATGCTTATACATGGGTGGTCCTTTGGGTCGTCATAGAACAGAAGAAACCAGAGAAGACTTAGGGCACAGCCACAAGCACCTATCAAAGCAGGATAGGTTAGAATCGAAATTGCTTCTGTCGGTAGTAAGTCTCTTTCCCAAATTGGCATTTGTCATTATTGGTCAGAGAACCTGGACCTACTCTTCCTTCTTTAAAACTTGGCAACAAGGCTTACAGTTTTGATAGTCCTCTCTGTATCCACAGCTGTGCCTACAGAATGAATTTTGCAGAGAGGGCGGTAAGCCTCTGGCTTCTCCTGATCTAGGCTCTGTATCCCTCCACTCATCATAGTGGGACTCCCTGCTCTTAGGCCCTCATCTCTACAGTTTCCCAACGTGTTCCACCATGAGAATATGGTACAGCTGAACCCTCACAGGGCTTGACTATCACCTAGCTTTGAGAGCTAGGTCTTGGCCATGCTCCCAAGATTCAGCCCAGGCCTGAGGTATTACACAAGTCCTCTGTGAGGAATCATCTGTTAGGACAGGGAGTATGTAGTACTCATCAGTCTTCCAGAAAGGCATTCATTCATTTGACAAATATTGATTAAATGCACATTATGTACCATTCACTATTCTATATCCTGGGGATGCAGCAATGAATAAAACACAAAAATTTCTGTCTTCATAGAGTTTACTTTCTAGTGGATGAGAAAAAGAAGATGAAAAGTAAATAAGTAAAGGGTATTAAATATCTGTGACAAGAGCTCTGGATAGAAGTTACGGGGGTGGGGGGGGAGTATCACGTTCAGTGAAGGCTGTGACATGGAAATGGGGCAAGGACACTCCAGGCAGAGGGAGCAGAGAGTGCTGAAGGCCTAAGTCCTGAGGCCAATGTGACTGGAGAGGAAGCAAGGGGAGGGTGCGGAAGGTTGAGGACGAGAGCTGATGGGATCAGACCATGTGGAAACCTGGAGCCACTGGAAGATCTTAGGCTTGTACAACACTCTTTAAGCAACATTAAAAGGATATTTCAGCTGTATACTATTTCCATGTCATTCTATGACCTGAGAACCCAATCCCAAGGTGAAACGTAAGTGGACAGAAGTAAATATCTAATAAATACATGTGCAATATGTACATTTCAATATATTATTTTGGTCAACTCAGAAACTCATATGGGCCTATTAGCTCTTTTTCAAAATGAGAATACTGATGTTCAGAAAGGCATCCTTGCCCAGGGACACACAGTTAGTAAGTGGTAATTGACACTTAGCATGAATTCTATTTTTAGGGTGGGAGTACAGTCCTCAAGGAGCAGCCTGGAGCAGAGCTTTGAAGAGACAAGAGTTAATGGCAAGTGAAAGTGGGTAAGTCTGCAAAAGACTGAGACAGAATGGCCAGGAGAACAAAGGCCAATGCAGAGAGTTAGGCAAGGGCACCATTGGTGATGGATGTGATTGAGAGCTCAGGTCAAATGTGGACTGAAGAACTTCCACTTGATTTTTGGGCATGGAGGTTTGGCCAACTCTAACATCTGTGAGGCCTGGGGCAAGACTATACATGGAAATTCACATGAATGTTTAAGTTCTGGATTTATTAAGAAACTCAAATAAGGTATGTCTTCTCATCCTATGTTGACAAAAATGTAACTTCAAAATGATCTGGAGAGAGACTTCTGGTTTCTGATCCAGCATGTAAGGAACTTGATAGTCATCCCTCCCATCCTCATTACAAGAAAAATGTTGAACAAAATAAAAATCAACTCTTCTTTGATCCATCAGAATATTGAGGTCATAGGGCAAATTACTGTACCCAAAATTGGAGAGACAGATAGGGGATACAGAGAATTACAACTTCCTGGAACAGAAGCCCAGAAGCAGAAAACTACATGGGAACCAGTACCAGGGTAAGAAAACCTGGCAATTGATTAATCACAGTAGGCTGTGTGGACAAGTTTGAGAGGGAAAAAAATCTGGGGTGGGGGGAATCCTGGAGGGACCCTCATACTTTTGTGAGTTTTACCTTCAGGAGACCCAACCAGGCTTTCACAGTGAAGATGAGACAAAAATTCCTACATCTTTTCAGCAGGGGAAAGGGAAAGTAGCAGTTTTGAATTATGTCTAGAGCATCCTGTTCTTAACAAAGCCTGCTGTCAAGGGAAACTTCTACCACAGTCTAACCTGCTTAAGTAAAAGGAAATACCCAACTGCAACCCCCTATGGCCTTCCTGTCTTACATAATGGGGGGGAACACTGGGAAGGACTTCTGAAGGTGAAGCCCAGAGGCACAGACTCACTGAAAGACTGAGACTAATCATATGACTATAGAACACTATCTTCCCCACACACACCTTACCACCGCATCGGTAGTTTCCCTGTATATAAATGGGAATACAAATGGAAAAACTGCATGTGTCAAACCTCATTTAAGAAGACTATAAAAACACAAAAACAGGGGAAATTGTAGCCTCTGAAACTTAGAGCTGTAGCAAACAGTAAGCAATGTCTAACCCCTAGCCAAGCCGGATAAATATAAAACCTCACATTGAAAGACTATTTCCATTCCTCTTATCTAGTACATCTTGTTGAGCTTTCAACAACAACAAAAAATCGCAAGGCATACTAAAAGACAAAAAATATAGTTTGAAGACAGCAAGCATTGGAACCGATTCAGAAATGGCAGAGATGTTGGAATTATCAAATCAAGAATTTAAAACAACTGTGATTATATTGCTAAGAGCTCTTATGGAAAAAATGGACAACATACAAGAATATATGATTCATGTAAGTAGGCAGAAACTCTAATAAGAAAATCAACAGGAAATGCTAGATCAAAAACACTAACCTAGAAATGAAGAATGCCTTTAATGGGCTCATCAATAGACTAGGCATGGCCAAGGAAGGAATCATCGAGCTTGAAGAAATGTCTGTAGAAATTTCCAAAACTGAATTGCAAAGAAAAAATAAAAATGACAGGTATCCAAGAATTGTGGGACAATTACAAAAGGTGTAATATATACATATGGCACTATCAGAAGGAGAAGAACAAGAATGGAACAGGAGAAATATTTGAAGGAATAATTAGTCTTCCAAAATTAATGATAGACGCCAAACCACAGAGACAGGAAGCTCAAGAGAACATACAAAAAAATACATACCAAGGCATATTATATTCAAACTATAGAAAATCTAAGACAAAGAAAGTTTTTTAAAGAAACCCAAGGAAGAATGAGGTTTAAACTTAGAATTCTTTGATTCCACTGGTCACAAATCCCTGGTCACTGTGGTCTGAGGCTTGACCTCCTGTTCCTACTCAGATCCGTTTCCATGCTAAAAGAAGTTTTAATTGGTTATATGTAGAAATTCTTGCCTTCCCCATCATACTCCATTTACATCTCCTGCAAGCAGTTTTGCCTGCCCTTCGTTGGCCAAGTCTAAATTCAGTGGATGTGCAGAAGAGTCCTTCCGTGTCTGAAAAGCCCTGGTGGTTTTTAAGCAAACAATTCTGGGAGTGATGACTAGGAGTGATGGCCGTGGGCTCTGAAGAGTATATAACCTTGACCCCACAGACGCTACGAAGAGGGCCTAGTTGGAGGAGGGCCAAGAACGGGCTCAGTGCGGAATCAGGGCAGCTCTGATGGAAGCTGTAAATGATCTTGTCAAGAGGTGTCTCAATGATAGGACACCTGGGTGGCTCAGTCGGTTGAACGTCTGCCTTCGGCTCAGGTCGTGATCCCGGGGTCCTGGGATCGAGTCCCGCATCAGACTCCTTGGTCAGTGGGGAGCCTGCTTCTCCCTCTGCTTGCCGCTCCCCCCCCATTTGTGCTCTCTCTCACACACAAATAAATAAATAAAAATCTTAAAAAAAAAAAAGAGGTGTCTCAATGGCAGAATGGGTCAGACACGAGTCATATAGAAGTTGAGAAGTCTGAGAGGTTGGGGCAGTGGGTACAGACAGGTTGAGCAATAATTTCCACTGTTCAAAGGGAGGTGACATGAGAGAGAAGGCAGGGGAAAGGGAGCCATTTTAGAGAATTGAGGAGACTAGAGAGGTTTTGAGAAGTTTAAAATAGTCTTCGTGGAGGCAAACGGCAGGCTGGACGGCCATTTTAAGCACAAATGTGAGTTTGTGATCTGATTTGCTCTTTTGGGAGCTTTTCTCCAGCAATTAGAAGCAGCTCAAAGGCAGATGTTATTTTGTTCTTTAAAGCAGTGTGGATTTAGATTTATTTAACTTTATTGAGAAGAACCTTCAAATAGAACAAAACCTCTTGGTTTTAGTCTTGCCTCTGCCATGAACTGGAGCCGACCATTTGGCCTCTGTGGGCATGACACGATGCCTCATGGTAAAGACTTGTGGAGGCAGATGCCTGAATCCCTACCTTGCTACCCTCTAAGTCTTTCCCCCCATTCCAGGTGCCTCCAAATGAGGCAATTCGTGGGAAAGCTGCTGACCCAGGACAACGCATAGTGCCTCTCCCTGAGCTTCATGGAGCCACCCATGAGAACTGCAAATGACCTATGTTGCCATACACATGTATATGACATTGGAATAGGAATACACCATGAGTGTAGGAGGTCATCCAACCTTTGATCAGCACTGGTGGGCAGAGCTTGTCTTTCATGGAGCGCAAACCTCACCTCCCTATAATTTCTGCTGATTAGTTTTAATTTTGTAATACAGGGCAGGTGTGAATTTCTCTTTTATGCATGCTCTCTCAAGTTTTCTTTTCCCCAGGCTAGACAGTTCCAGTATTTTTTGGCCCCTTTCCTGGTGCAGGGCTTGGGTACTGTCACTATACTGATCATTACTTACTACTGATGACTAATTTACTGATGAAGAGCAATGGCATTTGGAGGACGGAAGGCATGTGTTCATATTATGGCTTTGCCATTTGCTCACAGTGTGCATTGGATGTCTTCCACTCATCCCTCTAGACCCACTCTTCACCCTTCGATGTCCTGCATTGGTCACAGACGGCTGGCCTGAATGTACATCAACAGGCCCCTGGGTAGACTGCTTTCTAGATTGATTTGGCAAGCAGCCCGAGAAGAAGGTAAAGAAGAGAGAGTTGAGTGGGATTGGGGTGTCTTCCCCTATGTATCTCCTTCCTAGCATTGCTTCAGTCTGTATGCTCCTTTTTATGAACAATAGTGGGTCATCCCTTTCCCCAAGGGTTTCATATAAGGGGTGTGGATCTCTAGTACCTACATTATAGAATTGCAGAGGTAATGTACAATAACACATGTATAGTTCTGTTTGTAATGTGAAATTAATGAATGTTGACTTCTTGCTTTCCTTCAATGAGATTCATGATTTTAAATATCATTAGCATTATATAAATTATTACCTTATAGTCAGTTTTTATTTTTAATTTTTTTTTCAATTCTGAAGAACAACTGGGATGTTATAGACAGAGACTTACCAAAAATGTAGAAGGCCATGGGCCAGCCCAAGGACTGGCAGATGAATCCAGTCACAAGCAGAACAATGAAGGATCCCAGCAGAATTCCTAATCAGGGGGCACAAAGAAACCCCTAAGGAGCACAGGCATCTGAGAATAGAGATAATGTAGCCTCATGGTAGCAATAAACAATTTCCAGTGAAATACATTTGTAAGGATAACACTGAGCAGAAGAAAAGAATGAAATCTTTGCTTTTCTCTTTTTTTCCTGTTGTTGGAGATAAAGGAGTCTTTTCTTCATTCTAGACAGTTTCCACATCTTTAAAGCGAGGATGCTGGAGCAGATGGTTTCCAAAGCCCTGGACACTTCAAAACACACATCTTTTACAGGTCTAGGAAGAACATGCTAGAATAAGATGATAGCGGGATTCAAACATTCTAGGCCCTACGTCATTACCTGATAGACTCAGGGAGGTGAGTCGGCCTCGTTCCAAGGGAGGAGCCCACTTGGCCCACATGACGTGCTGAGCTATGAATACCGATCCCTGAAATCAGAAGGATTGGGACATCTGATCTCTGATACTTTCTGTGAATTTAAACCCTGTGCAGTTTTTGCATTATCTTAATACCTGGGCTGCTCCCTGGACTACTCGGCATGCCAGGAGGAAAGCTTCTCCACCTTCAGCTGCCATTGGCATTAACAGGCTAAGTAGAGAGCTGAGGAATAATGCAGAGCCAATCATTTTCTTGATGGAGTATTTTTCAGACAAGTATCCGACAGGAATTTGGGTGATGAGTACACCATAGAAGACGGAACTGAAGATGATACCCTGGATTTTAGGACTCCAGTTATACACGGGGTTCTGAAAGAAACAAGGAGACACATGGAGCCACTCCGCATCCTGTGAGTTACTGTGATATTTAGGGATGCAGGAGACCTGGTCTGCCGGCCCACTCAGTGTAAAGGGGCTCCCCTCTGCCTCATTCTCTATCATGGGATCCTTGCTGTTCCTCTGGAACGTCTTTTCCTGTGTGTACTGACATGTAACCATGGTATCGTCAACTATAATGTAAAGGCCTTGCAGTCAAGGGCACCCTCTGTAGCCCCAGGACAGCATGGACACTTAATACTTGCTTCCTGAACATTGCTACACTGCGCGTCAGCCCTTCCGTAGAGTACTACTCCCACCACAGTCATGAATGTCCTCTTGCCTTTTCTCTTCCTCTGACTCCTCCATTAAGTTAACCTCATTCACAAAACAACATTCCCCCACATCCAGACTACTCCCAGAGAGAAAAAAAATAGTGATTGATCAAATCACATAGAGAACGTCTCAGGCTGAACTGGAAATAATTGGATGAGACAGTGAAGGAAGAAGGCCATTTCTCTCTCTCTTTTTTTGGCTTGGTTTCTCTTCTTTTCTAAAATGTTCTAAATGTCTTGTTTTTCCATAATCCTTCCCTGCATTCTGTCAACTTATTTGTCTTCATTTGTCTACTGGCAGAGCATAGTGTTGCCTGGCCATCTTGGCTTTGAGCTCCTGTATGTTCTTCTCTGCGGTGCTCCTTCCTTAACTGTAATTGCTTCAACTAGCTTTTAGGTTCCTTTTGTAATTTCAGGTTACAATTTAGATCTGCTCTATGGAAACAGTTTTCTGGTGAGTCTTCACATTTGGCAATAATTACATGCTATATTCTCTCATTTTTTTCATCTAGTACTTTTGTATGTCAGCAAAGAGAAGCCCTTTTCTGTGACTTACATTTGAAGATCAGTTTCCCTGGATTACAGTGGGAGGTTCTACAGGGCCTCCACAGCTCGAGCTCCCTCCTTTTTTGCTGATTCAGTATATGAGTAGCCATTTCTCTAGAACATGGAGTTCTCAATATTGAAACCAAACCAATGAAATACTACAAATATTTAAAGAATATAATCCAAGAGAAAATTTGGATAAAAAGAGTTTAAAAGATTTTTGAGGTACAAGTGACACAGGAAACTTCATATTTAATCTTTGGTATAAAGTGTACAAGTTGATAAATTTTTAATTATGTGTATACTCATGAAACCATCACCATAATCAAGGCAGTGAATGCATTCTCCACCTCCAGAAGTTTCCTTACTTCTTTTGTAATTCCTCCCTCCTGCTTTTCTCCCACCACTGATCTGCCTGTCACTATGATATAGTTTTCACTTTCTGAAGTTTTACATAAATGGAGTCATACACTATATATATAGTTTATTCTACTCAGCATACTTATTTTGAGTTTCAGCCATGTTGTTCTGTGTGTCACTAGTTCGTTTCTTTTTAGTGCTAAGTAGTACTCTGTTTTATGGATGTACCATAGTTGGTGCATTCATCCATCTACTGATGAACATATTTATTGGTTTCAGCTCAGGTCTGATCTCAGGGTTGTGGGATCAAGTCCCTCATGGGGCTCCGCACTCAGCACAGTCTACTTGAGTTTCTCTCTCCCCTCTTCTTCTGCCCCTCCCCACCATGCTCTATCTCTGAAACAAATAAGAATCTTAAAAATAAATGAATAAAAATAAAGTGATTACTGAGGGGTGCCTGGGTGGCTCATTTGGTTAAGTGTCTGGCTCTTGATTTAGGCTCAGGTCATGATGTTAGGGTCATGATTTCAGGGTCATGAGATTGAGCCTTGCGTTGGGTTCCATGCTGGGTATGGAGCCTGCTTAAGATTCTCTCTCTTCCTCTCCCTTTGCCCCTCCCCCCACCTGCTCACAGGCTTTTGCTCTAAAATAAATAAATAATAAATACAGTGATTATTGATATAGTTGGATTAAAATCTGCCCTCTTTTAACATTTCTTTTATGGCAGGCCTACTGGTAATATATTACCTCAGTTTTTATTTGTCTGAAATAGTCTTTAACCTCTTTCACTTTTAAGGTAATTTCGTTGGATATAGAATTCTAACTTGGCAGATTCTTTTTCTTTCAACACTTGAAAGATTGTTTTCCCTCTCTTCTTAATTGAATGGTTTCTGATAAGAAGTCTTCTGTAATTTTTATCCTTGTTCCTCTGTAAGTAAGATATTTTTCCCTCTGGCTTCATTCAGGATGTTCTCTTTGTCTTGGTTTTCTGCAATTTAAATATGTATGTCTAGTTGGTTTTTCTCGTTGTTAATTATTTATCTTTTTAGTATCCTGTGTGGTATTCTCTGAGCTTCTTGGACTTGTGGTTTGGTGTCCACCAGTAATTTTGGAAAGTTCTCAACCATTAATTTTTCAGATAATTACTTCTTGCCACTCTCTCTTTCTTTTCTTTCTGGTATTCTAGCCATTTATATGTTATTTTTTTTTTTTTTAAGGTTTATTTGAGAGAGAGAGCAGGGGAAGGGTAATGGGAGAGAGGGAGAATCTTGAGCAGACTCCCCACTGAGTGTGGAGCCTGGCGTCGGGCCAAATCTCACAATCAGGAGATCATGACCTGAGCCGAAAGCAAGAGTCTGACACAACAAACTGAGCCACCCAGGCACCCCTATACCTTTGATATTATCCACAATTCCGGGATATTCTGTTAAGCTTCCCTCCCAACCCCTCCTTTCTCTTTCATTTCCGCTTGAGAAGTTTCTATTGACCCATATTGAAGTTCATTCATTCTTCCCTCAGCTATGTTGAGACTACTTATGAGCTTGTCAAGCACTCTTTATTTATGTTACAGTTATCTGGATTTCTGTTTCTTTTTTATTCATTCTCATAATTTCCTTCTCTACTGACATTACCCATCTGGTGTTATGTGTTGCCAACTTTTTCCATTAGAGACTTAACAAATAAATTATAGCTATTTTAAATTCCCTGTATGGGAATTCCTACATATGTGTCATATCTAAGCCTGGTTCTGATGATTATGTTAAAAAAAATTAAGATGCAGTACATTGCATATAAAGTGTTATTTTTAATGTAAAAAAGGTGAAAATAAGAAAGTATGTTCATGTTTACCTGTGCATTCATAACAGAACATAGGAAGAGTAGAGTGAAAAAAATATTCTTCCCATTCATTTCCATTTTTTGCCTGTTCTACATCTTCTGACAGGTAGCAAAACTCATTACCTTCCAGAAATGAAATTAGTGAAGCATGTAAATATACTGCATATTCAAAAACTTTTAAAGAAACAATGTGTCTTTACTTCTGCTCTGGTTTGAAATGCTTTCTCTTTTTCCTCTTATCCAAACTTCTCAATTCTAGAGACCCTAATGCTCAGTTTTTATTCTTCTTCACATAGAAGGATTCATATAACAAAGCCCTTCACAAATATTAAGGCGTGCTGTAATCATGGGACATGTTTAGTTAGGTTACTACTAGCAAGATAGATGAAGACTTGAACTTCTTTTTCTAATGATTACTGTCACATCAATTATGATAACATTCAATCTCTACACAAATCAATGAGCAAGATAGGATTTTAAACATGTGACTATGGATAATATTTTTCATATACCTTTATGTGATCCAGGTGCTCCTCTGTGGAGGTGTTGGGTGAACCAAGAGCATCTGTGCTGTTCACCATGGCTACCATTGTGAGGCTCAGACACATGCGCTGTGCCATTATTACAACGTTACAGAAATGCAAGAGGAGAGATAATCCATAGCGGAAGGAACAAAAACTTGGAACTAAGAAGTAAAACAGAAAGTGTCCATTGTTAACACAGCTGAGATAAAACCATACAGCAACTTTAGGAAGGGAACTCAGAAATTTGGAACCATATATATATACCTGACCTACAGTTATATTTATATACAACCATATATATATTGAATCAATTATATCATATATATATATATATATATATACACCTGACATACAGTATTATGTTATGGAATCCTAGATATTAATTTAAATTTTTTATTATTAAATTAAATTTAAAATTTTATTGTACTTAATGGCCTTTAAAAAATTATGATACAATAATAAGCTATGTGATTGATATAATAGTCCCATACCTCCCTACAATATAATCCCAACAAGAATGTCTCAGAAAATTAAACCAGTCCTCCAGATACTTTGTCTCATGCCTGTTTTAATGGGAGGACTTATAAATACTCTGGGTTAGTCTTGGAAGTAAGTCCCCTTAATAACAGCAAAGACTTTCTTTGAAGGAAACTGTTTAATTCTCTAAATTTGTATCAATAGTCTATGAATAGTCTTATAAGCACATTGCAGAGAAAAATTGCATTTAAAAAAAATGTAATGTACTTATTGAAGTAGTTTCAAACTAGAATAATCAGTGTAGTGTTGGTGTAAGGCCAAACAAATTCATCAATGGAAGAGAGGAGGGGGTCCAGAAACAGATGCATAGACATGGTCAAATGCTTTTGAATAAATGTACTAGATGCAATATAACAGAAGAAAATAAAGTCTTTTTCAACAAATGGCATTTTCCCAAGAGAAATAGCAACATAGGTCTACAAAAAGACTTGTACCAAAATGTTTATAGCAGCTCTATTCAAAATAGCTGAATGTTTGGAATGGATGAACATACCATGTTATATTAATACAATGGACATTACTCAAAAATAAAAAGGAAGGAAGTACACACTCAGCAATCTAGATGAATGCCAACAAAAATATGCTCAGCTTAAGAAGCTAGACACCAAAAAAGTGAATACTAGAGAGATCTAATTTTATGAATTTAAAAATAGGCAAAATTAATTTGCGTGGTTAGGTATTATAACAGCAATTTCCTCAAGGCATGAGAACCAGAAAGAACCTAATGGGAATTTAATGTAATGTTCTAAGATTCTTGCTCACAATTCTATGCATTTGTCAGAACTCACCTAAAGGTACACCTAAGATTTGTGATTTTATTGTATATAATTAATATTTCAATAAATCCTAAAAACATTGAGAAACTATGGTCATGGATCAGATTGGCATAGATCCAAAAGCACATTTGTTGGCCAGCCCCAAAGAAGAGAAGAGAGAACCTACATTGTTACAGCCCAGTGGAGGGTAATTTGGTGTCTCTTTAGTTACATTTTTTATTTGCCTGTGGTTGGTGTAAAGAAATGAATTAGACTTTTAAAGATACTATATCCAATCAGTTAGCCAAAAGTTGCTATTGTTTCTAAAAATACATCTGCTAATTTGTGGGGGGGGAGGGGATGTTCTATGTTGGGAATATGCAAATAATGATGATTTTATTTCTTCTTTTGTTATCCTCAGATCTTTAATTTCATGTTCTCCTTGGATCAGAACCACCAGTGTATTGTTGATTGCACCAGGCATCCCTGGGTTTTATACCATTGTTCCTGATTTACACGGAGTGGTTTTTATGTTTCTACATTTCAGATAATGCTTTGTTGAAGGTTCTGTTGTAGATCGGCTTTACAAAGTGTGTTCATTTTCTATCGTTGTGTAAAAAGAAAATTTCTGCAAACGTAATGGCTTAAAACAACACCCATTTATTAACTCACAGTTTTGTAGGTCAGAAGTTTAGCGTGATATGGTTCGGTTTTCTGCTCAGGGTCTCAAAGGCTAAAAAAATCAAGGGTTCGGCCCAAATGAGTTCTCAGCTGAAGGTTCTGAGCAAGGGTCCATTTCCATTCTCATTCAGGTGATTGGAAGAATTCAGTTTTCTATGGAGGCAGAACTGAGGTTGCTGTCTCCCTGCCAGCTATCAACTGCTTACAGTTGGTGTGACTTGTCACATGGCCTCCTCCAGGTCCAAAACCAGCCAGGAAGAATCTCTCTTACGTTGAACTCTCTTACGCTTTGAATCTCTCTAACTGCTTGGTCTCTGACTCTAGACCCAGATTTAAGGTCTGGGTAATTTCCTGGATAATTTCCCTATTTTAAGACCAGCTGATTTGCGACCCTATTTAAATCTGCTAAATCCCTTCAGGCAGCACCTAGCTTAGTGTTTGCTTAAATAACTAGCGGAAAGTGTGTGTACACCAGGGATCAGAATCTTGGGGGTAATCTTAGGATTCTGGCTACCACAGCCCACCCTCTGGTCCTTAAAAGTCTCATCTTATAATACAGTATCAGCTCAACTCTGACTCCTCCTCAAAATCTCATTAGCTCAAAGTCACAAATCTTACCATCTAAATGATCTAAAACAGAAGTGAAGGAGGTTCACGCTGGAGCATAATATTTCTGTATCTGTGGACTTGTGAAAGGAGAGGCAAGCTCTATGCCCCCAGTACTCCTGCCATACAGGGGTGGGGCAGGCATTGGGTCATTGCTGCAGAAATTCCAGTTCCAGAAGGGGGAGAGGGAGGGTAAATGGTGTTGCTGACTCATAAGGGTTTTGAAGTTCAGCTAGATAAATGTTGGATATACTGCCAAGTGGAATTACACTCATGCCTGGAAAATTCGTTTTCTGGACTGATCTCCCTTTGTAAACAGATACAAATATTAAATGAAATATTTTTAAAATAAAATATTTCAGGGCATCCGGATGGCTCATTTGGTTAAGCATCTGACTCTTGATTTCAGCCAAGGTCATGATCTCAGGGTCGTAAGATGGAGCCCTGCATTGGCTCCATACTGGGCATGGAGCCTGCTTGAGATTCTCTCTCTCCCTTTCCCTCTGCCCCCCCAAATCAATCACTCAATCAATCAATCAAATTAAATATTTCATTAGAAGTATGGATGATCTGCCAGGAAAAATGAAATATTCAGGCCAAGGGTTCAGTGGAGACAGGCTCCACAAGGCATAGACTGATCACTGAAGGCAGATTTTTCCCTGAAGACATTTGATACCAGCTTTTTTGTTTGTTTTTTGCCTCCCAGGGCACAGGGACAACAGGAGTCAAGTGCCAAGGCCATGGCAATGGGAGGGTCTAGTAAGAGACCCTGTTCTTGGACACTTAGATGCCAAAGACCTACTGACTCAGTGAGGGCTGAACACACTGACCCCCCCGCCTTGCCAGGGGGACTGTGGAAACTTGCCCGGGGTGAACGAGCCCTGGAGTTCAGCAGAGGAAGAAAACAACTCAGTTATCAGCCAGTCCTTCCTTTGGCTTGCAGCCTAAAACTCACTGTCCTTGGGCCATCAGAAAAAACGTTTCCAACCACACACGTACATGCACACACTGAGGGTGGCTTGCTCCAAAGCTTTCTAAACCCACTCTTTAAAATCAAAAGGAAAGTGAAAGGACCTGGAAAACTAACAGAAATGCTGGGGGAAAAGTCTCTGGAGGAGAGAAAGAAAAAAAGTCCTTCCAGAGGGCAAAGGGGAGGCAGTCCTCACCATATGGAGAGAAGGACTTGATGTCATTGTCAGTTAGGGATGCCTTTTGAGTTTGTGAACTCGTCTCCTCCACATTGCTCCAGGAAGAACATGAACTAATTCTAAATAAGCCTTGAGTTAAAAAGTAAACCAAGAGAAATTCCAAAGTGCTTGGGATGAGCAACACTAAGATACTGTGTGTTCAACTCATGAACAGTTAGAGCCAAAGTACACCCCTGAGGATATTTATCAAAAAAGAAGAAAGAATTCGAAGACAGAAAAGTAACAAAGGAACAAACCCAAAGAACTGAAAAGGAAGGAAATGTTAAGAAAAAGGGCAGAAATCAATAAGTTATATATATATATACATATATATATATATAGGTTTATATGCTTTATATATATATTATATACATATCAGTTTATATGGTTTCTATGTTTCTATGTTTTGTATATCTGTATATAAATTTGAATATAGATTAAATGAACAATAGGAAACTCAAAATCACTAAATATACAAAATAACACAAGAAGAAATTTAGAAGTTAATAGACCACTCATCTTTACATAAATTGAAAAAGAATGGAATTCATTGCCTGATCCCTCTCCTGGGATTGTATTCCCCATGACACGCACATAACTCTAAGACAATGGTGGTAAATTCTTATTGTCCTTCCCCTGCCCTGCTCAAAGTAAACAGTTTGTCTATTTATTTATTTGAGAGAGTGGGGGAAGGAATAGAGAGAGAGGGACAAACAGCATGGAGCTGGACATGGGGCTTGACCTCACAACCCTGAGATCATGTCCTGAGCTGAAATCAAGAGTCGGAGGCTTAACCGACTGACCACCCAGGCACCCCTAGGATGTCATATATAAGAAGAAAAAAGCCTGTGCAGTGGGATAGAGAATAATGTCTACCTTTCCTGGGAGGGAACTGGTTATCCATTTGCATAAGGGGTTCCGGTTTCTTCTCTTCTTGCTGAGGGGTGTGGTCTTCGCTGCAAGTGTAAAACATGTTGGTATCAGCATTACGCAGGGAAGAACTGACCAAAAACCACCCAGTACTCCTTTCTGATTTAAAACATGCATCAAAGGGAAGCTTGCTCCATACATCAGTACCCATTTAACTCAACCATGTGCTTCCTTTGACATTGCGCTTTTATGCTTTTTTAGTTGACGAAAAATATACACGCCCCCCTGAAAACTATTAAAAAAGAACAAAAACCCTGCTAACCCATAATTCCATGTCCAGTGAAAATATCCCTCAAAAGTGAAACAAACAAACAAAAACTGAGGGAATTCACTGATGGTAGACATGCCCTGCAAGGAATATTAAAACATGTTTTTCAGGCAGGAAGAGATTGCTCAAGGTCAGAAACTTGAATGTAAAAAAGAACGTTGGAAAAGGAATAAGTAAAGTTAAATAAATTATTTTTCTTATATCTTAATAGGGCTGAAGAATAACTATCTGCTTATTAATTTTGCCTTCTTGAGGAGAGCCAGGTCACCCCTGTTCCTGGACAGACCAGCCACTGCGCTAACAGGCACTGGTCATGCCCTTGTCTATACCTTGAGCTTCAGCCACATCAGTTTGACCAGATGCTCAAAGGATAAATTCCTAAGGCTGGATTTGCAACATATTTTGAATGAGCAGCTGGTCAACCACCATTATCCCATGCTGAAACATCTTCTGGGACTGCTGTTTATCTCAAAATACTCACAAGTGCAAGCACACATACCCACACACCACACACATACTACACAGACACACACGTGCTCTGCACACATGTACAACTACACACAAAAACACATCTCAGCACAACACATATATATAAACTACATACACCACACCACACACATCATAAACATACTTATGCATACCTTCCACTATGCACACCACAGACACCCCACACCACTCACAGATACACAAGCACCATACAACACACACCACATGCTTCTCTTTCCTTGACTGTCCACACAACTGTCCCCCTCACACTAATCCCTAGAAATATGTTCTTTTTACTTTTCCTCAGGAAGAATCTGTGGCAATACGTTTCCCCCCCCAATTTCCCGAGCTTGCTAAACGCCCTTGATAAGATCTTTAACAGAGAAGTCCCGCTCATCACTCTGGGGAATTGTTAATTTCATTTAGTAGCAATGTAAGAATAAGACTGACCTGATTCGGGACAGACAAGCGATTCCTTCTTCCCCTGTGAAGCCTTTGAACTTGAAAAAGTACTGAATTTCTGGATTTTCCAATTTTAGCCCCATTAATCCTTCACCCAATCCTTTGACTTCATTACGTCAAAGTTAAAAGGTTTAATTTTTAACTTCACTTTTACCTTTCCTTGAATCTTCAGATGAGGAGTATGAGTCTTACAATCTTCCAGTGGACTAGAAACCGCCTGGAAATCTGCCATCAGGTTCATGACTGTATAGCCAGACATGGCTGGTCTCCTCCTGCCAGGAGGGAGAACCACACTGTTGCCTAAGTGCTCCCAGGGTAGATGTTTTCTCTTGAGGGTGGCTCTGGGTATGCAGTACCCTTCTGACGGAAAGGCTATGGCTTTTTAAATGCCCCATAAACACCCTATTAGCTTTTTGTCTTCCTGCCTTTCTTTTTCCCTCCTTTGCCCTGCTCTTCTTCTCCCCTCCCCTCCCCTTCCCTCCCCCTCTCTCTCTTTTGCAAAGAACACATCTGCCCAATATTCAAGCTACTCAGAGAGAGGTACATTTTATTAAGGTATGTCCTCCAAAGAAAGTGACTTCCCCCATAACTTCTGCAATGACTAAATTCTCCTGGTTCCACCACCTATCCGTAGCGATACCTGGGAGCACTTTTACTTTGGAATTCTTTGAAGGCAACCTACTGATCGGAGAGGAACATCTAAGCCCTTAAATCAGGGATTTTGCATGATATATAGTTTCTTACATAGTTAAGCATTTTTTTAAAAGATGTATTATAAGGGTCTAATAAAAGTTTGGCACATAGCAGATGCTCTATTAATTGACCCAGTCATTTTCTCTCTAAAGAAATGTTGAAAACCTTTAACCTATTTGCCCAAAAGACTCTGATGTCTTACATAATCAGTTGGATTTTTTCTTTGTTGGAAATCCAGGTCCTGGCTATTCTTGCATTTTTGTACAGTTTGATGACAAGGTTGGCAGTTTCTGGCATTCTCTGGCCTTTTAGTGATGGAGAGCCCCAGATCAGCAGTTGCTCAATGTCCATATTTTAAATAAACAGCATTCCCATCTGGTGTCAATGTCTCAGGTTCTCATTACTGATTACCCAGAGGGAACGATCTTCCTGTGCGCTGACCCCAAAGCTTTATGTTGTTCTGGGATATGTTTTTGAAATCACTTCTGGATTCTACCTCTGGATTCTGTGTTTCTTATTAAGTTTTTAAATTTAACATTGTATAGAAATTTCCAAACATATAAGAAATGTAGACGAGTTTAATATAACCTATGCCCATTAACCAGCTTCAACAATTATCAATATTTGGCCAATCGAGTTATATAACTATTTATAAATTATATATATATATATATATTTCTCCAATGGTTGTTTTCTGTAGTATTTTAAAGTAAATCTCAGATATTATGTAATTTCTCCCATAAAAAGTACAGCATGGGTATATGACTCATTAGTGCTTTAAAAAACATACCTAGCATGCCATCAGTGTATCTAATAAGCAATCATCTCTTAATATAATCTAATAGCTAGTCGTTAGGAAGATGTTTCCAATTTCTTCAGAGTTATCCTTTTCTCTCCCTTCCTTCCTCCCTTCCTCCCTTCCTCCCTTCCTTCCTTCCTTCTTTCCTTCCATATTTGATTTATTTAAATGAGGACCCAAACAAGATCCACATGTGACCCATAACTGTTATGGCTCTCACCTCTCTTTAACTTTGTAACCATTCCTTCCTTCATTTTATATTTGCTGTTACCTAAAAACAACAATAGTAACAAAACAGGGTCATTTGCAGAGTGACTCTCATGACTGATTTGGCTAATTGCTTCCTTTTAGTGTCATTTGATAAATTCTTTACTCCTTACGTCCTGGAACCTGCTGGTATGTGGAGAGGCTTGCTTAGATCAGGGACAAGAATACTTCATGGGGTGCTGGATAATGTCCCCGGTGTCAGCTTGGCTCATTTTTAGTGAGATAAGATTGCTCCGTGGGTTCAGATATTCTCAGCTTGATTTATCCATTAATGAAGTTCTCATCAATCTTCACCTGTGCACTTTGATGGCTGTTAGTAAATGCTGCCTAGATCCATTATTTTATTAGAAGTTGCGAATGGTGATTTTCTAATTCTATCCTGCCTTCTTCGTGTAGGAACTGGAGTCTTCTACAAAACAGGAAATTTGCCTAATTGAATATTTGATTACCCTGAAACACAGATTTAATAGGAAAGCCAGGGGCCCCTGGGTGGCTCAGCCGGTTAGGGGTCTGCCTTCAGCTCTGGTCAGGATCCCAGAGTCCTGGGATCAAGCCCTGCATGGGGATCCCTGCTCAGCAGGGAGTCTGCTTCTCCCTCTGTCCCTGCCCACCGCTTGTGTGCACTCTCTCTCTCAGATAAATAATAAATAAATACAATCTTAAAAAAATAAGAAAGCCAGGATACTTTATGAAGTTGTAGAATAATAATTTAGTGCCTTAGCAAAGTTGACCAAGGAAAATTATGACTTCATGGGTTTTACTTTATGTGATTCAATCTATTGAGTACCTATTTTCTGATGCTTAAATTGTCCCTTCTTTGGCCAGTAGGAGGCTATTCAAGCCGGTTTCTATCTATTGAGACCTGACCCTAGTTGTCTGGGATAGCTTCCATTGTTTTCTAAAACAAACACACACACACACACACACACACACACATTCCAGGCTCCTCTGGTGTATTTCCTGTTCTCGAACCTGGGCTTTCTTATGGAGTGCTGGTTCCTTTCAGTAGCAAGTAACATCCAGAGACCACACTCCAAATATTGAGGTACTCCTTGCTCCTAGGTCTCATTGCTTCTAGGCCCTTTCAGTGGAAGAATGTAAAAGAAGTATTTTTTTTTTAAGAAAAAGCTACAAATTCTGTCTGGTATTTCCAATTCAAATTGAATGTTAGAGTGATTTTTAAAACTTCTTTGACTTTATGCTCCTGAATCCTGAATTTTTCTCATACATTAAATAACTTGATTACTAATACACAGAATTACTTTTTTGCTTTATGATAATGTACCTACATTAAGGTTCACCAGATATTTATTAAGCGTCTACACTGAAGACTCAGAAATGCATGGCACAGCCTCGGACCCTCAGGGGCCTCAGCATGTTGGTCATATCCATTTAGTACTATCAGCAACATTAAGAACCTGTCATTAGCGGGATGTCTGGGTGGCTCAGTGGGTTGAGCATCTGACTCTTGATTTCAGGTCATGATCTCAGGGGCATGAGATGGAGCCCCAGGTCAGACTGCACTGAGTGTGGAGCCTGCTTAAGATTCTCTCTCTCTCTCTCCCTCTGCCCCACCCCCTGCTCACATGCACATGCATGCTCTCTTTCTCTAAAAAAAACAAAACCCTGTCATTAACATGGGACATCCTTATAAGAAGGGGAAATTTTGACAAAGAGACATGTGCAGACGGAAGATGATATGAAGACACAGGGGGAAAGACATCTACAAGCTAAGGAATTCCTGAGGCTCCCAGAAGAGAGGCCCGGAACCAATTCTCCCTCAACAGTCAGAAGGAACCAACTCTGCTGCCCCAGTCAGACTTCTACAGCTGTGAGACAATAAATTACTGCTTTTTAGCCCCCAATTTGTAGCACTGTGTCACGGCCACCCCAGGAAACTAATACATATCTCAGGAAACTAATACATATCTCATTATTACCACTAACACAACATGGCCCCAAGTCAACTCATTATCTCCACTCTAAAAAGGACTCCTCTTCCTGCATTCTCTGACTTAGCTGGTCAGACACTCTCTATGCAGTCTCTCAGGTTAGACACCCAAACTCAACTCCTCTCTCCTTCAGCACCCACCTAACCAAATGCCGTGACCTTTCAACTTTACCTCCTAAACTTGATGCATGTCTCTCTTCTTCTCTCCTTGTCACTATTCCTCGTAGGGTACCCTTCGAGCTCCCTCACATGCAAACATGACCTTCATGTGCTGGTCACACCCACCTCCCATCTTCTGTGCTTTCCTAACTGACCATGCGGGCAGGTCATTCCTTTCAGAATCCATCCTGTTTCTTGTCTCTGTGTTTTTGTATGTGCTGAGTTCCAGTGTGAGAAATCTTCCCATAGGACAACCCATTTAGCTCAGGAATTCCTTGTGGAAGGAGATCCCTCCCTGGGCTCTTCCACTTGGGATCAGAACTGCTGGGGTGCTCTCCCCCAGTGGCCTGTATGTCCCCGGCTATTGTGCCTGGGGCAGTGGCCTGGCAGCCATTGTGTCTGTCCTACACGTTAGACTGAAGAATGTGACTGGGTCTAGTTTGCTGTCATGTCCCAAGGGCCTAGATTCTAGACGAGAGCAAGACCTCAGTCATTGTCTTCTCTGTCTCCTTGCCCTGGTTTTTCACTCAGAACCATGCCCATCACATCACCTCAACATAAAATGACCTCAGGCTCTGCCGCCTGTGTGGTAAGGATCACCACGGGAAGCAACCAAGGAAACGGCCCTGGCCCCCTGCACATGCTCTGACCCACTGATACCTACACATCACCATTTTACAAAAATACTGCTCCATTTCCCGTTTGGAGCTTTATATAGGATTCAACCACAGAGGTACTAGTTGGACCCCAGAAGGAAAATATGGCAGACTCACAGTGGGTAATTTGAAGACAGTGTTGAAAGAGACAACTTACACAGGACTGGGAATGTGGCACAGGCCAAAAAAGGCCTGTAAGGGGAAGCGAGAAGCCACCAGAATGTGTGGCGGGACCAGCAGCTGTGAACTGTAGGGGAAGAATCAGCCACCTGCAGATCCCACAGGAAGGGACTTCAGAGATAGATACTCTCTGTGCTCACTCTTAGGCCTCCATTGAAAATCCAGCAGAAGCCCGTGGACAAGGCATTGTGGATGCAAACCGTGCAGGTCAGCCTCCTGGGGCCTAAACAGGATGAAGAGTGGAACACACAAGGGGAGGGGCATGGGGACAACGTCCAGTCCAACAAATACAAATTAATATTCACTTCTACAGACAGGAAAAATCATCGTCCTACTGAGGTCACCGCCCTCAATGAAGAGCTTCCAAACACTGTTTCCTGTTTTGAGATCCAGAAACTGTGAGTCTGGCCTATCGGCTCTGCTCCAGCAGTTCCTCCGAATCCACTGATAATTCTATGAAGACGACAACGTTGTTCTCAGCTATTACTTTATTGGAATTTTCATTCTTCTTACATTTTCCTCAAAAAGAAAGCTTAGTAACATAAAGAACTGATCTCAGATTCGAAAAGAACCAGGCAAATGAAATTCTTTCTGTTGGTATTTTCATCACCAAAGGCTTCTCATTTGTGAAGGAAGGTGCCCGGTGACTCTCCATCATATCAAGGTGGAATAACTAAGGAAAAAAAGTAACACAGAATTAAAAATTTAAGTAGTGCTTCTCTGGTTAAATCCACAGATGAAATCACTATCCTTTACCTTCATAAATGAGTGAGTTTCCTCTCCTTTGCCCAGTCTTGGACAACTGCTTCTCCAAATATAAGGTAGAAGATCAGTCCTAGTAGGTTAATGGCAAACAACAACAAGAAGACATTTCTCCACCCAAATTCAGGGTCCTGAGGACACAAAACCTCAAGTAAATATTACCCCTTTCATCCTTTTCTCTATAAGGCCATTTTAATAGTTTGCTAGTGGGTTTCCATTGCAGAAATTCATTCCCCGCGAGCAGCTTGGTAGTTGGATAGAAATAATACGTTCAAAGTGCATTTGGAATAGTCTTAATAAATGGGATTTAGGGACCTTTACAATTAACTTACAGAACTGCATTTGTCACTGTTTACCAAAGTGCCATACGTTTGTCTCTTTTGTGCAAATCATGACAACATCAAACACGCTGAGTGTTTTCTTCTTGCGTTGCCATGGCATGGTGGCAACATTGCAGGCTTTGGAGCTAGACACGTCTAAAAAGGAAGAATTCTGATTCTATATCCTCTTAGTGGAAAGACTTATTCTATCAGATTTTCAGCTTAATCATCAGGAAGTGATCCTCATAATTGGTGTGAGAATCAATAATTAAATGAGATTCCCACATACAACACACCCATAATCATGCCTGCATGTGTCACACACTCCAGCACATCTATTTTAATTATCCCTCTGCGTGGGGATGGTTGTGCAAATGAAAACTCCAGAGTGTTGCAGAAGACATGGGAAGTTGCATATATGCATGGAATCCTCACCTCATGACATCCTTATGGCTGTGATTTCAGTTTTAAAGACTGAAAGAAATTGTTCTACATTTTTCTTTGCCAGGTTGATCTTCATGACAAAGCTGACCCACAATTTAATTGTATTTTCTAAAATGCGAATACCATCTTTATGCTACTACCTTTAGATTTGGCAGAGCATTGTAAGAGTCTGTGACAAGAAAACCCTACCTGATTGAGGAGAAACCCATTGACGGTGGGTGCGAGGATTGCTGCTATGTATGCGAATCCCCTTGTGGCTCCCATGAGAAAACTGGAATGTCTGTGGGTGATAGGGATGTTCCAGGCTAGATCCAGAGAGGCTTCACAGTGTCCTTCAGCCTTGCTCTTCTAATTACATCAAAAAGGACTTGCACTGTGTATGTTTAATGAGAGGCACTGAGACAAATCAAAAATACCCCTCCCCCCACGTGCCTGAAAAAATGGCCACAGGATCAACTGCGGTCCTTGCCTGTGATTTACTACTTCCCAAAGTCTGGGGCTCCCAGAAAGCTTCGTGCTAAATCTTTTTCAGAATACGTGAATATAAGAGTGGAGATTACCGTCCTACCTTGGAGCAATATCTAAGGCATTGATATAGATCCCTGACTGACATATGGCGCATAGTCCACACGAGAGCGTTAGGATGGTCATTGTCGTGATGTAGCTGGGGGTGAGGTAGGGCAGAACCACAAGGAGCACTGAAGATGGGAAATTTCCTAGGGAATGTGGGATACATTAAACAATGAGATACATCTTTGGCTGTTGTATGCTTTGTGAATCATCCAACCCTCAAGCCCTGCTCTTACCTAGAAATGTGGCAGTTTTCCTCACAGTAATAAGCCTAAAATTCTTGGTCAGGAGGAAATCTGCCATTTGACCTCCCAGGATACCAAAGATCCAGGCGATGATAAAGGGAAGGGCAGACAGGAACCCATTCTGAGGGGAAGAAAAATTGAGTAAACCATCATAATAGGAGCAGTGAGCCCACACCTTTTGTTGATAAACCACTGATCATCATACTGACAATCCTGAGATCTCACGGTCTGAAGAAAGTCAGTAGCCTCTTCTATCATGTCCTCAGAAAAGCTACTGGCATTAGTGTTAAATACTAGATTATTTCGTGGTGGGTGGTAAAGGATAAACTTTTCTGGAAGGAATGACTTGTGAAGACAAAGTGATTGGTGGGTCGTGCATACTGGAGAGAGGCAAGGAAGGAAATGCACTCACATCTCTCATGTTAACGTTGAACACAGAGCTGATGTAAGTTGGTGTGTACACGATCTGTGTGACTGTTAGCCACTGATGGCCAAAGCCGCAGACACACATGGACCAAATCGGTAGTGACCTGAGCATGGCCGTGATGGGAAGAGGCTGCTTACAAGGGCTGACCTGAACACAAATGTACTGATTAGAACAATGAGATCTGAGACGTGCTCATGCATGCACCTTAGGCACCCCGAGAAATCCAGAGGCTGACACAAGATCTCTGGAGATAGTTGGAGTCCTTACCTGTATCTGGTGGGCCAAGGAGGATATGATATAGTCTTTTTCTGTGATGTTTATCCATGGGTGAGAGACGGGGTCATCATAAACCAGAACAAACCAGAGAAGGCAGTAGACACAGCCGATGCCTCCTGCCAGCAGAGGATAAAATTGGGAACTGAGCTTGGTTCTGCCTTCTGTGTGAATTTCTTTCCTGTCAGGACATTTTCCAGTACAGGTCCTGCGAAAAGCCCTTGCTCATAATATCCCCCTTTCCATTTCTCAAAAAAATTCACATGAATAGCACAGCTTTCTAGAACCCTCTTTTTTTTTTTTTTTACAGTTCTTGATTATTTATGCGAATGGAAATCACAGACCCTAGGGATGGCAGAAAACTTGGTAATTCAACCTCTTTAATATTACCAAAGGAAAACTATTTAACACTTTTGACACCAAATGTGTGGGTTTTTCACACTAAGAAATTCTCCAATTCTCTATACACACCAGCTTGGCTCAATTTTGACGCTAACTACTGGTAGCACAGACCCCACAGGGTGAGGGCTCAGTCTCATAGGAATGTCCCCCTTCAGATACCAGTCACAAGCAGTGGGGCCCCAGATTACCCACACTTCTGACTCGACTACACAGCTGGGGCTTCCTACAAACCCCCTCTCAGTTTTGATAATTGGAACAAAGTCAGGTCAACAAGTCAGCGAAACATTTACTTATGCTTACCAGTTTGTTATAAAGGATATTATACAGGACAGAGATGAGCAGGCAGATTAAGAGATACACAGACAGCAAGGTCCGGATGGTTCTGAGCACAGGAGGGTCTGTCCCTGTGGAGCTGGGATGAGTCACCCTCCCAGCACATGGATGTGTTCACCAATCTGAAAGGTCTCAGAACCCCATAGTTTAGGGACCTCTATGGAGGCTACAAAACGTAGGCATAATCGAGTATTAACTCATCGTGCAGCCTCCTTCCCTCCTGGAGGCTGGAGCGTGGGGCTGGAGGTTCCAAGCTTCTAATCAGGGTTTGTTCTTTCTGGTGACCAGTCCCTGTCTTGAAGCTATCCAGGGGACCACCGAGGGTTGCCTCATTAGAACAGAAGACGCTTGTATCATTCAGGAAATTGCAAGGGTTTTAGGAGCTCTGTGCCAGAGACTGGGGGCAGAGACCATATACCTTTCTTCTGGCATCCCATGAACCATTGTAAGAGGTGTACAGAGGTATCTCCTTCTTCTTACTTGGATTTCCCTAATGATGAAGGATGTCGAGCACTTTGCCCTGTGTTTATTTTCCCTCTCTCTATCTTCTTTGGTGGGAAGTGTCTTGGTCCACTTTTAAATCATTTTTTTGTTTTCTTATTGAGTTTTGAGAATTATTTATACATTCTAAATAAAAGTCCTTATTATATGTGTGTTTTCCAAGTGTTTTCATAATGTCTCATAAAGGCAAGTTTTTCACTTTAATGACAGCCAGTCTATCAGTTTGTAATTTTATGGATCAAGCTTTTGGTGTCCTGTCTAAGAAATCTTTGCCTAACTAAAGAAGAAAGATTTTCTCATGTTTTCTTCTAGAAGGATACTAACTTTAGATTTTAAAATTAGGTTCAGGATTTAGTTTGAGTTCTTTTTTTTTTTAAGATTTATTTATTTGAGAGAGCAAGCGAGCATAAATGGGGGGACGAGCAGAGGGAGAGAATCCCAAACAGACTCCCTGCTGAGCACAGACCCTGACGCTGGTGATCTGACAACCCTCAGATCTTGACCCAAGCCAAAACCAAGAGGTGGACACCTATTTGGGCCTCCCAGGTGCCCCTGAGTTCCTTTTTGTATAGGGTACAAGATAATGGACCAAAGGCCGTTGTTGCTGGTTTTGGTTTTTTGTTTTGTTTTGCTTTTTGGTTTGGTTTTGTTTTGCACAGGAATATCCAATTTTTGAGCACCATCTGTTAAAAAGCCTATCCTTTCTCCATTGAATTCCCATTGCATCTTTGTCGAAAATCAGTTTACCTTTTGTGTGTGAGTCTGTTTAGAACTGTATTCTGCTCCACTGATCTATTTTCTATCTATATACTAATATTACAGTGTCTTGATGACATAATCTCATGTCTTGACATCAGGTGGTGTCAGTGCTCCAACTTTGTAAGTCATTTGCAAAATAGTTTGGCTATTCTAGAATCTTTATTTTCATGAGAATTAGGTTTGAGTGCATAGGTCTTTCACATCTTTTTTCCCGTTTATCCTTACGTTACATATTTGTTGATGCTACTGAAGATGGTACTGCTCTCTTTAATTTAAATGTCTGATTCTTTCAACTTTGGTATGTCTAAAAATGTCCTTATTTTGCCTCTGAATTTTTTTTCCTGCCTCCAGAGTTCTATGTTGACAGATTGTTTCTTCCTTGCAGGACTTGAAAGATGTTTTGCTGCCTTCCTCCTTGCTTCAGGCAGGAAGGCTGGACCCCTTCCTTGACTCTGTTCCTCTGTATGTAACCCGGTTTTTAGCTCTGGCTGCTTTTAAGATTCTATATCACTGGCTTTGAGCCATCTGATTACCGTGTAACTTGGTATCATTTTCTTCATGTTTCCTGTGCTTGAGGCCCATGGACCTTCTTGGGTCTGTGAGTTTGTAGTTTTCATTGACTTAGGCAACGCTTCACCGTGATTTCCTCAAAGACTTCTTCTGTTCCCCCTTACCACTCCTCTTCTCTGAGCTCACTGCACTGTCCTCATGGTCTCATTCACTCTTACTCTTCTTCTCAGGGCGGTCCGTTCTGGATGAGTTATACTGCTATTTTTCGGTACCCTAATCTGTCCTTAATTCCATCCATATATTATAGTTTTCATGTCTGGAAGTCAGATTTGGGTCTTTTTAAAAAAGATTTTTCCATGTCTCCACTTAACTTCTGAACAAATAGACTTAGGTTATAGCACAATTAGAATAGCTGTCTATTTTAATGCCCTTGTCTGCTAATTCTTAATATTTGTGGCCGTTCTGGGTTGGTTTTCATTGATTTTTTTTTTTTAATTCTTCTTTTGGATTGTGTTTTCCTGCCTTTTTTTTTTTTTTTTCCCATGCCTGGTAATGTATGATTGGAACCAGACCTTGTGAATTATACCTAGTTGGGTGCTGAACATTTTTGTCTTCCTATACATTATTTTTGAGCTTTTGTCTGGGATATGGTTAAATTACATAAAGACAGTTTGATCTTTTAGGTCTTATGTCATCATTTATCAGAAGGACCCACTGCAGCACTTCCTCCCGAGTGAATGATTTCTCACTACCGAGGAAAGTCGATGGTGAGTATTCTGCCCAATGGCCCCTGAACTCTTAAATGTTTTCAGTCTGTCTTGTGGCAAGAGGCACCATCTCTGATTCTCTGTAAGTATTGGATATTGTCCTTGAATCTTTCCCAGTGATTTTTTCCTCCTCTGGGCTCAGATGATGTCTTCACACATAAGACAGTGTCTGATGAGTGTCCTGATGAGTGCTCCGCTGTGGATCAAGGGTGGGACCCTGCAGATAACCGGGTTTCCTGTTCCCTCTTTTCTGCCTCACACTCTCCCTTCTCCAAGCTCTTAGCTTTGTCTCCTTGACTCTGTTTCTGCGGAGCTCCCTTTCCCTGCGCGCTGCCTTAAACCTCACCCCTCACATTGATCCTCACTGTCTTCACCCCGTTCGTGTTCAATGTTTTCTCTCCTTAGGAAGCTTGCACCTCACCCGGGTCCCCGCACGGAGGCACTTAATCTGAGACACAACCCACAGCAGAGGCTGCACATCTTTCCTTCCTGTCTCACGAACCACCGCTCTGCAAGCCTGTCACCTGAGGCCTGCAACGGAAGCAGAGCACCCCCAACCACGTCGTGCTAATAATGTTTTATGGCGGGTTAGTAACATCACTGCCTGATACTTGGAAGAAACCCTGGGGATGGGGAGACTGTAGCTTACCCAAGATATAGAAGGCAAAAGGCCACCCAAGGGTTTGGCAGATGATGCCACCCAGGAGGATGATGAAGAAGGTTCCCAGCATCATTCCTGCAAAGAGACAGAGAGTAAGCTGCAGGGCTCTGGAGAGACACCGACAGAATGACGGATGACATGGTAGCAGCATCACCAACCATAACGAGACAGGCATATTAGAATACACGAACTTCTGATGTATCACTCCACGTGTTCTCCTGAGGATCCATTTTTCTGGCATTTCCCTAATAACATTGCAGACAACAGCCATGCTTCTGCCTTTCGTCCTATTTTGATTTTTAACTACACAAGTCATGTGACATATGCTTATTGTAAGAGTAAATGACCAGTAAATGAACCAAAGTTCCCCTCATGTGTCCCCCCAACCCATTCCCACTCTGGTCTCTAATGTTAACCAATTCCCATTATGTGGTATTAGAGTCGAATGCCTTTCCTCTCGGCAAACGTATATAATATATATTGACACACACACTCACCTCTTTGTAAAGGCATTTATGGCCCATGCAGGCAGAAAGCTACATTTGTCTGGGAAAGTACCAAAAACACTATTTTAATTTCCCTGGCCTCACAGAGTATTCTCATACATGGTAGGGCACACTTCCTTTTTACAACTTTTTCAAAACAAGGCTGTTATTTCTGAACATAAGCATAATTTATTTCGGTACAATAGAATAACAGGAGTGGCCTTGCTTGATCACTTTGTGAATTTTTCATTTTGATAGATGCTGTCAAAGTATCTTGCAAAAAGGCTGTACTGAACTAAATGGCCAAAAATATTGGGTTTTTTTTCTTCATCTCCTTGAGAACACTGGACATCTTCAACGTTTCTAAAAAGTCTTCCAAATAGGAATGAAAAGAGTTATCTCATTATTTTCTATTTAAGGTGAAGTTGAATATCTTTTCCTATGTTTATAATTGTATTTCTTCTGTGGACAGGGAAAGGCAGCATTTGAAAGGAGGCTGCCTGACTTGAGGGCACAATAGATGAAGATGGAAATCAGTACCCTGTCCACCACAAAGTCCACCAAATCTTCACGTTCCCCCCGAGGTCTCTGCCTTTCCTTCAGTTACAGTAGGGGACAGGTTCCTGCAACCATCCAAGACCAGATCTCTCTAGTCCCCTGGACCATGTCTCCTCCAGTCTGGCCAGGCCCAGGCTACTGTGTGGATGCACCCTCACGCCTGTACCCTCACTTAATTCCTCGGCTTTCGGTTCTCACCCATCCACATACACAAACTTATCTTCCTTCATACAGCCTGGGCTCAAAACCAAACAAAACTTTCCACCTCTTCAGAACTCCCTCCATGTATTTAGACAGCTTTCTGTTCCTTTTGTACCTCTGCTCCCAGCCCTTCCACTGTTGTCAAGGCCTTTCAGGACCCCTGGCTTTCTGAATCCACAATCGTTTTATCCGGGCCAGCAGCAGGTGGCTCTGTTGACTGGTCACTTCAGTCTGAATGTTGTCCAAGGGCCCCTGGGAGGCTTCCCAGTCCCCGCTGCCTGTCCTCCTCTGTCTGAGGCCCAGAGATTGGAGGGCCATGGGGCTATTTCCTTGGGTTTCTTCTCTGGGTGATCACATTCAATTGAAGACTTTGAATACCATCTGCATCCCGAGAGATTTTGGTATGTCTTGTTCTCTGTCGTATTTCTGCTGCATTCCATGCATTCCAGACTGTAATTTGATCTCCACTCATAGTTCATAGCTAACACTTGATTTATATATACTGTAAATTAATGCCCAAATCTATCACCTGTCTATGCAATTTGTACCACGCATGTATGTGTATGTGTATACCTCAAGTGTGTGTTTTTCTTTTCTGACCTTTACTAAAGTGGTATCACCCTGGCTGTTCTCTTTAGGACATTGCAAGGTGTATCTTAAATGTGTTAATTTACCCCATTTTGCATCTTACATCTCACCCTGTGCTTTAGAGTAGTGTAACTGGACAAACGTAGCACCTCATTTGGCCTCTGAACCTATCTGTACCATGACCATTGGGATAGCTTGCCAGGGAGTGTCCTTGGAGCTAACATTGCATCAGGGTGATTTTCCACCATGATAGACAGGCTTTGTTCATTCAACCCTTGTATTTCTAACCCTTAGCCACGTTGCTGTATGCAATTACAGGGGTTTTATTTTTTCATATTCACTGCAGTACTATGTTGCATCATCTTCAGACTGCGTGTGTGCATATGTGTATGTGTGTGTGTTTCTATTACCTCAAATATGAGCTGCCAGTTCTGTTTTATCTGCTTAGTCTTCTTCCCTAAATTGACTACAGAGTTTCCTGCCTATAGATTTGTCTTTGTGGTTCCCTGCAGAGGAAGATGGAGTATGTTTTGTCCTAGAGGCTGGCAGGACCTGGACCCTTCCACTCTTGGGTGTTTTTCTGGGAAGTTTTCCTTCAGTCTCATGGGTTGAGTCATCCTGTTCACCAGTGCAGTCTGCTGACAATCCCCAGAATCACCAGAAATGGCCATTTCTATAAGAACTAGTGAGGCAAGTGAGTAGGCTCAGCCCACTCCACCTGCAGATGGGTTCCTCCAATGGCTTCTTGTTGGCCACACAGACCGCCATTGGTTTTGTGTTCTCTGAGCTAGAAAAGCTTTCTAGAGGTCAGTAAAGACTACCTGTTTGGGGACCCTAAGGTATTTCCCTAAGACCAAGAACAAGGAAGCCTCTGGATCTTGCTCCTAGCCGGTCAGTTGCCCTATTCCAGTAGCTCTTATGCCTATATGACAGACAATGAGAGAGAAGGGAGCTGCCACTTCTATAAGGTCACTGTCTTCCTTCCAAGATTTTAAACTTTTCCTCCATGCTTTCCATCTCCTGATTCTTGTATTGTATTCTGGGATAATCCCTCAACTTATTTGTCCAATTTGCTAATTTGTTGGTCATCTCCCTTCATTTAGGTATTCAGACCATTCATTGCAGTTAAAAATATTAGCAATTATATTATTTTATCAACAATTATTTTAGAGCAATCTATTTTCAAAGTTATTTTTTCACTTTTTTTTTTAAGATTTTATTTATTTGAGAGAGAGAGAGAATGAGAGATAGAGAGCACGAGAGGGAAGAGGGTCAGAGGGAGAAGCAGACTCCCTGCCGAGCAGGGAGCCCGATGTGGGACTCGATCCCGGGACTCCAGGATCATGACCTGAGCCGAAGGCAGTCGCTTAACCAACTGAGCCACCCAGGCACCCTATTTTTTCACATTTTTAATCGAAGTATAGTTGACATATGTTAGTTTCAGGTGTACAGTATAGTGATTTGGCAATGATACACATTGCAAAATACCACAGTAAGTGTAGTAACCATCTATCACCATACAATCATATTATTGACTCTATTCCTTATGCTGTGCTTTTCATTCCCATGATTATTTATTTTATAACTGAAAGTTTGTATCTCTTAATCCCCTTCACCTATTTGACCGGCCCTCCTACCCCCACCTCCACCTCTGGCAACCACTAGTTTGTTCTCTATATTTATGAGTCTGTCTCTCTTTCCTGTTGTTATTTGTTTGGTTGGTTGGTTTCTTGGTTTTTTAGATTCCACATATAAGGGAAATCACATGGTAATTGTCTTTCTCTGTCTGACTTGCATCACTTAGCATAATAAAGCTCTAGGTCCATCCATGTTGCTGCAAATGGCAAGATTTCATTCTTTTTTTTATGACCAAGTAATATTCCATGATGTCTATACCACATCTTATTCAGCCATCCACCTATCGATGGACACTTGGACTGCTTCCATATCTTTTGCTATTATAAAGATTGCTACAGCAAAGATATGAATGCAAGTATCTTTTGTATGAGTGGTTTTCATTTTCCTCAGGTAAATACCCAAAAGGGAAATGACTGGATTGTATTTTTAGTTTTAGTTTTTTGAGGAATCTCCATACTGTTTTCCACGGTTGCTGCACCAATTTACATTCACACTAATAGGGCACAACGATTCTCTTTTCTCCACAACCTCACCACCACTTATTACTTCTTGCCTTTTTTTTTTTAAAAGATTTTATTTATTTATTTATTTGACAGAGACACAGCGAGAGAGGAAACACATGCGGGGGAGTGGGAGAGGGAGAAGCAGGCTTCCCGCTGAGCAGGGAGCCCGACAAGGGGCTCTATCCCAGGACCCTGAGATCATGACCAGAGCCAAAGGCACGTGCTTAACTACTGAGCCACCCAGACACCCCATACTTCTTGCCTTTTTGATACTAGCCATTCTGACAGGTTTTTTTTTTCTTTTTAAATAAATGTTATTATAAATATTCCCTGGGATCTCTTGCATGTTGCTAATCATGTAAAATTTTCTTTTAATTTCTTCCTCATTTGGGTTCATCTTTACAGTTTTTGAGTTTCGTCTGTCTCTTTTGTGCTCTTGGTTTCTTTCAAATGTTTGAGGATTTGAGGGTGGGGGTTCGATCCTTATTTATACTTAGAAGCTCCATTAGTCAGCTGTGATAACTGATGTGAATTTCCTTCGTCCAAATTGGTGGACTATTCCCCTATCAGTGAATAAAAGCTCTGGTGACAGAAAATAATCCTCCAGGGTTGTAAAGGGTTCTATGGGGTGTATGAGGTCAGTCAATGTGTGTGTGTGTGTGTGTGTGTGTGTGTGTGTGTGTGGCTTGTTTTCTGGACTGAAGAGTCCCCGGCTCTCTTGGTATCCAAAAGTTAGCTGGAGAGTTACCCTTCTTTTCTTACCCAGCACCTACTTCATCAATTTCATGTTTGTTAGCCTTATTCTTTCTGTTTTTCATTCTTCCCCTATATAATGTAGACTTCTTTCTTCAGAATATTCATTCCAGAAGCACTGCCTAAGCAAATCATGATCAGAAAGCAGTTCTCAGAACAACTAAGAGAAATCCTAAAGAAGATTAAGTTGGATGCATACCTTATACATAGAATTCTAAAATAGACTCCAATATATCAGAAATTTAACTATAAAAAATGAAATCATGCAAATTCAAGAAGAAACACAGGTGGATGCCTTTATAACATTTCCATCTACGATTCAAAATCTAGAAGCCATAGAAGAAAAGAATGATCAATTTAACTACACAGAAATATATTTTTTTCAGAATAGGAAAATCATTATAAGCAAAGTCATGTTACAAATGACAACTTGGGGGAAAACAACCAAAAGTCATGTCACAAAGGATCCATCTCCCTCATTGATAAATACTTGGGCAACACTGAGGAGAAGACAAAGTAACATTCAATAGAAAAATTATCAAATAACCCAGTGTGAGACTGTTACGTTGTAATGTACACATTTCAGCTATGTGTTTTTACCTGATAAGCCAATGGAGCAGAGTCGACTTCGTTCATGTGGAGGACCCCATTTCTCCCAAAGTGCATACTGACCCCCAAATGTTGATCCCTGAAATCAAAATAGTTAGAGCTCGTGACGTGTGGTACCATATAGAAATTCCTATCCAGCCCCTATTTGTAAAATATCTGGATACCTGTATTAGGCTCTGGACTATTCGAGTTGCAATGAGGCAAACTAGTCCGAGCTCAGCCGCCAGGGGGGTGAGGATACTGAGGAGTGAGGATGCAAACAACGAAACACCAACCACTCTCTTCGTGCCTACTCTTCCAGCCAGGTACCCACTGAGGGCCAGTGTCAGCATCATGCCAGAGTTGGCAGAACTAAAGATGATGCCCTGAATTTGAGGGCTCCAGTCGTACATGGGGGCCTTAAGGAAACCGAGAATGCTGTGGTTAGCCATTTGCAAGAAGGTGCTAACATAACTGAAAACACCTCTTTAGATCTTTCACTTGCTTTCAAATCACTATTTTCCCCAATAAAACTTTTTAACACAGAGGCTCTAAAAAAAAACACATCCAAACAAACAAACCACAAAAACAAGAGCACAGTTTAAATCTTGCATCGCTTACCCCTGCAGGAAGACTGTCTGGGGCATTATTCAGGCCACCGAATGAGTCACCAGGCAGCCCCTTGGCAGAGCCATTAAACTGGAGCTGATGGTCCGTGCTGTTGACCATGGCTACCATAGTGATGTTCATGACAACACACTGTGCTACCGCTATGAGGTTGCAGATATGTACGATAAAGGCTATCCCATAGCGAGTGGAACAGAAGCTTGGACCTGGAAATATTATAACATGACATCAGTGCTTTTCCTTATGAAGCCATCGTTTGTTTCTCACAGGCTGTAATACAGAAAGGTACCTCAGGCCACCACCCGATGGTTTCAGGGGCACTGTACTAGCTTTGGGAAAGGAGGATACTAAAGGAGGAAATCACTGAGTTGAACCAAAGGTGTTTTAATTTATTTTTATTTAAAAACATGTTTTTTTTTTTTTTAATTTGAGAGAGAGAGAGAGTGAGAGAGAGAGAGAGAGAGCACAAGCTAGGGGACGGGCAGAGAAGCAGATTCCCCGCTGAGCAGGAAGCCTGCTGTGCGAACCGATCCCAGGACTCTGGGATCATGACCTGAGCCGAAGGCAGACGCTTAACTGACTGAACCACCCAGGCGCCCCCAAAGGTGTTTTTATACCACAACTATATAGACACTGACTTGCTCTGAGGCATCTGTCCTTCCTATAATTCTGTCTCTCCCATTCCTGGGTTATTGTATTCTATAGTTGATGAAATTACTCAGAAGTAAATACATATATAGAAAATATACATTTTATATACATATAAATAAAAATATGTATATGTACATATTTATGTTCTGTAATTTAAATAAATTATATGATATATATGTACTATATTATAAATTACATATATAAAACATATTTTTTTAAATTCTGAAGGAGTCGTTCCTTCGTGTAGATGATTATTCTTCTCACATGTCTTCAGGCATTGAGGACAAGCTTTCATTTGAAGTTTAAAATTAAGGGGTGCCTGGGTGGCTCAGTCGGTTAAGTGTCCCATTCTTGATTTCGGCTCAGGTCATGATCTTGGGGTTGTGGGGTCAGAATCAATGCTCAGTGGGGAATCTGCTTGAGATTCTCTCTCTCTCTCTCCCTCTGCCCCCCCGATTCTCCTGCACACCCCCTCTCTCTTTTTTTCTCAATTAAATAAATAAATCTTTAAAAAAAAAAAAGATTCTCTCTCTCCCCTGCCCCTCCCACCCCACTCATAAGCTCTCACTCTCTCTCTAAATAAAATAAAATAAAGTTTGAAATTAAACCCCTAGAAATATTTTCTCAGGGAAATTGACAACCACAAACTATGAAAAAATATAGCAAAAAAAAAAAAAGAGTGGAAAAAGAAATGAGCACAGCATTCAAATCTGGTTTTGTATTTCTAGGAAAGATGGCTACTGCCAGGAAGAAGCTATTGCAATAATGCAGAAGACAAGAGGAACGTTGGATGGGGGTGGTAGCAGTAGAAGAGCAAAAATGTAATCAGATCCCAGATATCCCCGGGGGAAGTCACACTAAATCAAGGTTTCAGTTTTATAGACCAGTGGGGGAAAAGCACTGGAGAGGTTCTTATTCTAAGAACTAGAAGACTGGCTCACTGAGGAAGGGAGTTCTGTGGCAAGAGCAGTTTTGAAGGGAGTGGGGATGATCAAGAACTTATTATTAGACCAACAGCGATCCCTTTTAGGTACCCAAGGGAAGGTGTTGAGAACGTTGTTGGATACACAACTCTAGAGTTTAAAAGAGATGTAGAGGTTGAGGTATAAGACTGGGCATGTGTAGGTTGGCTAGAGTGGCCTCTAGCCAACCTACACATGGTACTTGAAGCCATGATATTCGGGAAAAGAGAACACAGACAGAAGAGAAACAATGACTGACTCTGGAGCTCTCTACTGTTTAAAGAGGCCAAATAAATGGGTACAACCAGCGAAGGAAACTGAAAAGGAATGGTCAGTGGGTTTGGAAGAAAACCAGGAGGGTGTGGTATCCTGGAAGCCAAGGGATAAAGGGCTTCAGGGAGGAGGGAGTCAGCAGGTGCGTCAAATGGTCCTGGTAGCTCATGTAACATAATGACTGAGGATTAATTCACTTAATCCTCACACCAATCCTTTGAGGAAGCCACTACTACTATCCCCATTTATAGATGTGCCTATGCTTGACATAGGTACAGAGAGACCAGCTAACAGTGTACGTCAGGTGTCTATGCTCTTCACCATTGTACCACAAGTATATGATGGCTTTTATTTTGTCCTAGATGACTCCATGGGAATACCTTTGCTGTAAACCAAGTGCACCCATCTGTGGGGTTTATATGGCTATATGGTGTGGAATAGGAGGTCGAGACCCTGTGTCTTCAAGAAGTCCTCAAAACTTCAAGGAAGGAGATGCCTTGAGATAACAAAAGAGCCTTCCTCACAAAGCCATGTTTTCCCTTTAAGTGGACACAAGACTTATGTAGTGAATGGGGGGAGGGGCAGAATTTGGAAGAATGAAAAGCTCAAATATAATATTTTTATAAAGGTTTTCCTTCTGATTCCGGGCCAAGTAGTGACTTCTATGTCAATCAAATCAACTAATAATTTATGAGTTCTTGTGGTCTCTGATTTCTCCAAGTTGTCTTGGGGTCCTAGATACCAAAGGCTACTGAAAAGTAGCTACTGAAAAGAGGCTAATGGCCCACGAATGAGTCGGTTGAACATTTGCCCTATTAGATTGCTGAAAGATTAACTAGAAGATATATTTAAAAGGCTTAGCCTGATGCTTGCTGGCTATTAAGTATACCTTGTTACTACATGTGTGCTTAAAGATGATTTCTGTCCTGTGTCCATTCTGAATGAATAGTTCCAGCCATGTCCACCTAATAGGTTGGTGCTAATGTCATGCTGCCTGTGAATTATTTTCAAGGATTACCCTTAGCTACATGACAATGTATGAGTTTGTGTTTGTGTGTGAGAGAGTGCGTGCAAATTAATAAATATCTTGGAGTTATGGTATTTAACCACTGGAAGAGAGTACTGATACCATGAAATCATGAACTTTTGAAACTGGAAGGTTATATCAAAGAATTCAATATTACTCTAATCAGAGTCGAGGAGACTTGTTTTTTAACTTGATGTGACAAACAGATCCTAAGGTGACTCCAGTGGTACTCACCTCATGGTATTCACAAATTTGTGTAATCCCCTCCACTTGAATGGGGGCAAGACTTAGGAGTTGCTTCTAGCCAGCAAAAGTGAGGGGATACACTTTCATGATTATATTACATTATATAAGACTCCATCTTAGCAAACTGAAGCTAGATCCTTTTCTCATGGGGTTGATAAAGTAAGCAGAAAGTTGGAGAAGCCCACATGGTAAGAAACTATGGGCTACCCCTAGGACAAGAGAGTGGCCTCTAGCCAAAATCCTGCCCAAACCGGGGCCTTCAGCTGTATAGCTGTAAGGAGATGAATTCTCCTAACAACCTGAATGAGCTTAGAAGTGGGATCTTCCCCAGTCTAGCCTCCAGCAGAGAAGGCAACCTGGCCAACTGCTTGATTGCAGCTCTGTGAGATGTGGAGAAGAACCAACTAAACCAATGCATGTCTTAAACTCTGACCCACAGAATCTATAACACAGTAAATGTGTGTCATTTTAGGCCCATTAAGTTTGCAGTAGTATGTTTGCAGGAATAGAAAATGAATACAGTTGGCAAAAAATAATAAAGATGAGTTATATATATTAATAGACTACACGAGAGGTTTTTTTGGAAGGGAGGGCAAGCACTGAAAGATATTTGCATTTGCACCAATGAAATTTGTCATGAGAGTAAAATAAGACATCAATAAGCAAAAAAATCTAAGGAACAATAGAAAAACATGCAAAGAAATCATACAGTGAGTAAAGGACATTGTGGCAATTGATGGAGGAAAGCTAAACTATATAATATATGATTGTGAGATAACTGGTTAAATATATGGAAAAATAAAGTTGGAACAATATCCCATATTGTAAATCAAAATGAAGTCTAGATATAATACAGTAGCTGTGCATTTTGTCAAATTAAAGATGCCATTGATTTTAATATGTGTCATTTTTTGTTCCGCTAAAAATCAATTGATCAATGAATCAAAAAATCAAACTTAACCGATTTAAAACTGAATGCCTGAGCTCCCCTCCCCAGCTTGTTCTACCCAGATTGTTTCTCAGCTCAGTGGATGGAAATCCCAACCTTCCAGATACTTTGCAATTATCCTTGATTTCTTTGTTTCACACCTTAGATCCAATGTATCTGGAACATACTGTTGTCTTTACACTGAAAATATGTATAGAATCAAACCCCTTCTCACCAAGGCCATTGCTATCTTTTGGTTTAGAGCTGCTTCCGAGGGGTTCTAGCTACCAACATCCCTTGCTTGGATTTTTGCAATAACCTTTAACTTGACTTCCTGCTTCCAATCTATTTTCAATACAGCAATTGGAGTGTTCTAGTCATACCATAAATTAGATCACCTCCTCTTCCACTCAAAATCTCCTATGTGGCTTCACTTTTATTCAGATGAAAAATTAAGGTCTCTGTAGTAGCCAATGGAAATGAAATAATTATGCCCTTTGCCTCAAAATTTTAATTTCTTAGGAATAAACACTGAAGAAATAAAAATCTTAACTGTAAACAAGTGTTATGTTAAAGAATGTTTATATATATAATACATATATTTCAAATATGTATAATATAAAATAGCTAAGTAGCAAATACATATATTTTATATATGTATAAAACATTTATGTAAAATAGCTAAGTAGCAAAACAAAAATCCATAACTTAAATATCCAACCACAAGAAGATTTTTCAGGTAAATAATGCTTTATCTATTGGACATATTGGAATAATAATAATATGCATCCTTTAAGAAGAATGATTGAGTATTATAAAGCAATATGGAAAAGTATGTGTGGTCAAATTAAAATTTTCTGACTTTACCTAATTAAGCAAAACAATTATATTTACAATATATTACATGCAATGACAAGCAGAATACACAATACTAGGTGTATACAAATTTGGTGGCAATGATCAAAAGAATTTAAATGCATATGGACCAAGATTAAAAGATAATCATAAAAAATGTAAGACTTGTTTTTTATTTTATTTATATATTTATTTTATTTATTTATTTTTTTGGTGGGCAGCAAAGTAAGGTTTATTGAGCAATAGCAAACTGATAGTACAAAGCTCCTGAGTAGGGAGGAGACCCAAGAGGGTTGCCCAAAAGACTTGTTCTTTAGTACAGTGGTATTTATTTCCTTTGTATATTTGAAAAATATGCATCAATATTACCTGATTTTAAAAAAGAATTAAACAACTTACAAGGTATGGATTCATTTTTTTATATTATAACACTGCACATAAAGAACCCATCATAAAATCCTAAAACCAAGTAGTCATGCTTGAGTTTACCTTGCTTGGGAACGAGCTTCTCATCCACTTGCGGATCTTGGGAGCACTTTCTCTTCCCAGCTGTGGTACTCGACTCTGCCATTGTGTTCTTTCCCCCTGATGTTTTTCACCTATTAGGGCAATATGCAACCCACAGGTGTCAGCCAAGAGAAAGGGACTCCTTTGAAACATATACACAGTGGGCAACAAGCCAACCAAAGCCAGGCCATTCCATCAGGGTTGGGTATAGGGAGGGTCGTTATTCCCTCTTGGCTCACTACAGCAAGTGCACCGCACTTAGGGTGTGGAGCGATTACTAGAATCTAGAGCGCTCACTGGGAGCCCGTGTAAGAGAGCTGGCTTCGGAGCTAGGCATTGCCAAGTTCAAATCCAGGCTCATGACTTATCTGATGTGCCAAATGCCACCAGGAGCAAATTTGTGAGTTTCGGTTTCTTGTCCGTTATTAATAATAATAACCAGCACCACAACTACAGCAGCACCTGCATCAAGGATGACAAGCATTCAACAGACTGCCCATGACTGGCACTCAGCAAGTGGTCCTCACATGGTTTATTATCATCTTTGTTGGAGCCCCCACCCACGTGGGTCACCTGTGGGTCAGAAGAGCTGTGCTCTTCTGGAATCCTCTACCGCACCCGAGAACCCAGCTTCTAGTGCCTCTGATGATTCCCATACTACTTCCCCATTTGACCCACTGAGAGTGTTGCTCTTCGTATGTCACTCATACTTGGGGACCATATTTGCATGATATGATGATACCATGTTAATCCCATATTATTTCTGGCCACAGATGATGAAGTATCTACAAAGTTCTGGAAATAACTAACATGGAGATCTTGACACTAGTAGTTTGGGGTCCTTACAATTTGGACCCATGACTGCCTCAAATGAACAATGTTTCTGTTGTAAACAGGATCTATTTGGTTTAAAGTTATAAATATCTTCTTATTTAATTAACAGGTAGTTGGGATTGTGAAGTTGGTTTTAACTGACCCACAGCATGAAAAATTGAAACCATATATAAAATATGGTTTCCATTTTTTCCCACAGAAGGGAAAAATGGAAATAAAACTGGATGATCAAAATGTCCTTCCTTAGCAATTGGGTCTGAGATCAAAAATAATGCCCACATGTTTGAATATACCCCATTTTAGCCACCACGAATGGAGGCTTAAGACTCTGAGTCCTCTCAGCTTTTAAGATGGATCATGTTCTTAGTTTTCCCTTCCTTAGGCTATTTGACGAGGGCCATGTGACATCTGACAGTTGTCTCACCAAGAAATTCAGTAATTTCTGGATGAGGGTGGTCAGTTTTTTGTTTTTTTTTTTTGTAGAAGCACTTACACAGAGGTCTTAAAAAGAAAAATAAGACAACCAAATAGGCATCTTCAGGAATGTTAATTTATATAGGGAAAAATTATATAAATAGATGAAGGCATGGCAGAACCTGAATTGAGATAGGAAAACAAGAGAACCCAAGAGACGAGTACAGCGTAAGGCAGTGGGGTGCTAGAGTCAGCTCACCTGGGCCCAGGAAAGCAGACAGTTACATTTTTAGGAATTTTGCAAACTGGTTGTTGAAAACAGCCATTACTGGCAATTAAATTACATAAATTCAAAATTAAATACATTATACTTTTAAAAGATGAGAAATGTTTACAGCTCACGACTTTGTAATTATTTCACTGCATTTTCCTATCAGGTACACTCTTGAGAACATTCATGACTCCTGCATCTATATGGTGGGAATACGATATAAAGGCATGTTGCTGCATATTTCTTCCTAACTCTGAATTCAGTGATGTCATGTTGGTAGCTTGAAATTGGCCACAATTGGAGATTACACACACACACACACACACAGACACACACACACACACACAAAGGCAAATGCTACAGATTTGGGCTTGATTTGTTGATTTCCTGGACTTAAGAAATTTAATAAATAATATTACGTTAGAGCTAGACCCATTATTGAGGAAGTGAGTGATGTTTTTGCTTAACTAATTATTAATCAAAAATTTACTTGTAGTCTGATTTTGTGGCACTATGGTTGGTGATAGAATTATAAAAATTCAGAGTGAATTCTGCAAGAAATAGAAAATCACACTGAAGTTAGAGATGTAACTGGAATACAGAGTAAGTATTTTAACTTGAAACATGTTATTTTAAAAATGATATAAAGATATTAGTATCAGGAGGATTGTGTTAATCCTCCAGTGATATTATGAGTTTTATTAACATGAAGTTAAATTGGACAATTTATGCATTTTGTAGATAGTAATGTAGACTCAATCCTTGCAACTATATAAAAAGCTAAACAATGGAGAAAAGGGAACCCTCCTACACTGTTGGTGGGAATGCAAGCTGGTGCAGCCACTCTGGAAAACAGTGTGGAGGTTCCTCAAGACGTTAAAAATAGAGCTATCCTGCAACCCAGCAATTGCACTACTGGGTATTTACCCCAAAGATACAAATGCGATAATCCTAAGGAGCACCTGCACCCCATTGTTCATAGCAGCAATATTTCACAAACAAGCAAAAACATAGAGCAATTCCAGAGTGATCTAGAGATTGAGGTTATTTTATTCTCTGCTTTTATGCCTGGACCACCTAGCAGCTGGCCTCTTAAGATGGAGAGCAATTTCCTGTCAACAGGGCTTGATGCTAAATTCCACTGGATGAAAATGTTATGGGATGTCATATTGCTGGTTTACCACAGCTTTGCCTATTCTTGAGCGTGTGCCTCTGGGACCTTTCTATCATGGCAGGACTGGGTTCTTCAACTCTCCAGCTCTGAGTCTATTCATCCAGGATGGCAGCCCCGGTGAACCCTCTCTATTCCATGGAGGGTATTTGTCCATTTTCAAGTTACTTTCAAGACATACACCCATGAAATAGAATCTCAGAATTTATTTAACAGTGTGCTCAGAATATCAGCTTTCACAGAAGCAGGAACTTAAATAATAACTCGGGTAAAGTAATCTCAAGTACTTTTAGCCTTCTACTATCTCTATTCTAGACCACTAGGACGTGCCTTGTCCTGGAAACCTGAATGCCCAGTCCTAGCAGATGTGACCATATCTATGATCATTCTCCCAGGAGATTTTATAAGCATTTGCTTACACAGCTAAGCAGGTGGTTGGGCACAGGCAGTGAATAGGAATCCATATAAGGGAAAGTTCTGCAAGCATTTGGCTGCCAAGGAAGCATGTAAACAAGCATTACTCCAGTAAAGCTTGGTGACCTCAAAAAGGTTTTGTGGCGGGATCCCCAGCAGCGGGGGTGCAATGGTATAACACAGTCACACCCTGGCTAGCCTTCAAGGCCTAGGGCTGTACAAAAGAAACAACTTACAGCTGTCACACATATATTATATATCAATATGTCATCTATATGTTTTGTATGTTATATATGTTTTGTGTGTATATATATGTACGTGTATATATACATATATGTGTATATATGAAAATTTAAAAAAGATTTTATTTATTTATATGAGAGAGAGAGAACTCATATGCACAAGCGTGGGGGGAGGGACAGAGGGAGAGAGACAAGCAGACTCGCCGCTGAGCAGGGAGCCCAATGTGGGACTAGATCCTAGGACCCTGGGATCATGACCTGAGCCGAAGGCAGACGCCTGACCAACTGAGCCACCTAGGCACCCCTATATGCAATATTTTTAACAGCAACCTTGATTTTCTACTACTGCCCAGAAAACTGCTGGTTCCCTGGGTCAGAGACTATATATGGCACCCTGAGATGTTTCTGCTTCAAAGCAGTGTTCATAGGGAATCACACTGAAGGTCAGCTTCCTGCAGACCATTAGGTTTAAAGGCTGTGGGTGTCCTGCTCACAGCATCCTACTTACACCATCTGTGAGGTCACAAGTATCATCAAAAAGCCGCAGCTCCTACATTCCTGCCTTGTGGACTCTCCCTGGTTAACTCGCTCAACTGCCCTCAGCCCACCCTCCATCCTCTGCTGACCCTAGTGACCCTATTGTCCCATCTCTACATTTCCCCTTCCATCCCCAGCCATCTTGGTTTGGTTAGCTTTCCCTCATACCCTTGCTTCATGACTCAGTGTTCCTCTAGATGCCGTCTTGGACCAGAGCCACCCCCAGCCCTGTCTGTGTCAAAGTCCTGGACCCTACTTGATGTAGGAGGGAAATCAAGGGGGCGAACTTGATTACAAAAGGCTGGAGTCCTTCAGGCCCCAGGAATTGCCTGTTGCCACAGTGAGCCTGTTCAGGAGAAAAGCCTAGTCCTGACTTCTTGGCGGCAGCGAATCTTTGTGTAAGGGATGGAGATGTGGTTGCCCATTTTTTCTTTTCTGAAGTATTTCTTTGCAACCACCCTACAACTCTTCCTGTGGTCCGGCTGGCTGTTGTATAGCGAGTTATCCAGCTGCTGTTGATGACTACTGTACATCAACCCTAGGTGGAGATGTTGACCCTCTTTGTCCAGGTCAGCCATTTGGTAAATAAAAGAGCTGATACTTGTTGACGAGCCCCAGAATTTAATCCCCTAAATTCAGCTTTTAAACACCTCACGAGAGTGCCTGTTCCTTGGAAATGTCTTGCACAGTTGACATTTTACGCATGTTTATGGGTGATCAGACACACAACTTCAGCTCCCTGCTTATACCTCTCTTCCCCCGGCCTGGTTAAGAAAATAGCGGTGTTCACGTTTTCACTCACCTTTTTAAAAAATCAGTATGAGAAAACCTGGGACTTGGGGAGTATATCAAAATTGTCCATTATTACACAGAAAGGACCCTTAGAGTTTGCATATCAACACCGGGATAAGTGACTTACCGACTTAGTGTCTGAGGGAGGACTTCTACTGAGCACCTGCTCCTTCTTCACGCTCTGGCCCTTCACCTGCTGGCAGGCCGCGGAGGATTCTTTGCTACCCTGGGGTTGGGATTGCTAATCATTAACGAGATTCATCAAACTAGAAATTGAAGGAAAAGTGCTTCTTGTCAAGCAGCCTCTGAGGAAGTTTCCAGAAATGTGTGCCTTGAGAACCTGGAGTCTAAGCCCCTCTGCAGCTCTGCCTCCTTCTCGGCTGATGTGA